CACATGGTTTATATACTTATGTGTTTGCCTTTTAAGTTTATGGACATTTATATATTTGAGACCTTAAATTCTTATAATTCTCTGTTGTCCATATGACTTTGTCCTCCAAATCACTGCTTTCCTACACTTTCCTCTGTCTCAATCTGGATTTTCTCATATCCTCTCCCCTTTTGGAGCATCCCTGGTATGAGAAAGTCCAGATCAAGGAAGGTCAAAAGTGTGGGAAGGCAGTGATTTGGAGAATCCCTGTAGCCATATGGACCACAGAGAATTAACGGGAAGCTTACTGCCCACATTAAACAACAGTGAGGATGAGCCCATGGTGTCTCTTTGTGGGTGCTTCCCTTCTAATGCATTCTGCTTAAATTGGAAACTCATAGCTTAAGCTATAGCTCTGTTTGTGTGTGTGTGTCTGTGTGTGTGTCCATCCCTTTGATCTATTTTAATGGATTACTTGCAGCAAGGGTTTTTCCCTGCTTCAGGGCTCCTGACACACAAATAAAGAGCCTTTTGTGTTGACTTGAATTAAAGTTGAATAAGCCTGGTAAACATCTGGTAGATCTTACAGGCACAGCAGGAGACACGAAAGCTGACAAGAGTAGCTGCCCTATGGGAAATCTCAGCTTTCAGATCTGCATAAGGAAGAACAATACCAAAGTTGTATTTCCTCAAAGCGCCTTGACAAAGGCTGGAAAGAACAAGCCAGTGAAGTGATGTCCGCCGCTTGCCAGTTTTGGCAACGTGTCCGAATGTTCACGGAGGCAACACCTTTAACAATGAAAACAACTCTGCGTCCATATGGTGCGGAATATCATAGCTGCCCTCATGCAAAACGAAAACCTGCTACAGCAAGAGTCTGTTGAAAGTCTTTCGTTATCCCTATGGCAACAGCTGAAGCAAAAAGCTGATCTCGGGACAAGTGGAAAATATGTTATGAGAAAACCAGACATTCCAAAGGGGAGGCAGAGGAAAAGGATCTCTGCAATTTACCAGGAAAAGTATGCTGAAGTTACCGTTCAAAACGTGGAAAGAGAGCCAAGTAGCACAAAGGGAACGATAACAAAGGAGGGAAAGGTAAACTAGCTGGCTCTGGTCCTTGCAAATTCTGTGGAGAGTAGAGGTAAAAAGGGGACAACTGACCAAGCTAGCCATATCTCATGGCCAAGCTAGCCGTATCTCACATTTCTAACCACACGCTCCAAAGTAATTAAAGAATAATCTAGACAAGGATTCCGAAGGGTGTTTCTGCGCATGTGACATGCTAAAGTCAAAGATTTGATTGAGGTTCTTCTGATAAGAACAATTCAGCTGGAGAACTGCTTGAAAGAGCATCTCCTTTGCATGCAGAAGGCCTCTGCTTCAATCCCTGACATTGCCAGATAGAAAGAACCAGATGGAAATCTGAAATCTTGGAGAGTCCCTGCCAGTCAGGGCAGATAATGCTGCGCTAGATGGACCAATGATCTAACTCGGAATAAGGCAGCTAACTTAATTTAGAACCAATTATCTAAGCAGGGTGGGCTCTTTTCTTGCTGGAGAAGAGGATGGGCAGCCATCTGTTGGGATGCTCAAGCTCTGGATTTTCCTTCTTTTCCCCCCAGCCCTTGGAGAGGGAGAGTCAATGCTTACTATGGCCCCGGGGACACTCTCCCAGGGACCACAGGATTACAAATAATTATTCTAAAAATGACTGGCACATCACATATGCTCAATACATCTTACTGAGTCAGTATAGATTAGTACATCATAGGTTTTCTCCAGATAGTTCCTGCCGCCTTATTTCTATTTACACCTATAATGCTTTGGGTTTGTTTTGCTAGTGTTGCTGCTTGCATGCTGTCGGCCATTTTGTATTATATGCCTTTTAGGCGGCTCCACAATCGCAGAGAACATGCTTAGTTAGGCTCTCTCCTCCATGGCCTGAGGGCAGTGGGGATGCTTTAGGTCAGATCTATGTGTTCGACTGAAGTGCGTAAATCCAGCATGCTCTGAGCCAGAGTGGTTCATTTTTTCTTCACGGTCAGCCACAATGGTGATGATAACTGATGAGTTTTACTTCTAGAAGTCCAATGGCTAAAGAGCAGTGGTAATTTCCCAAGGATGAATGTTTTCTCTTTCCACAAAAGCCAGGATTTTCTCAAGAGTTTCTCTCTCCTGCTGTTTCCTCCAGGTTTTCTCACCCCTTCCAGAGCAGCCTTTTAAAGCCTCTTCTGTTTCCTGTTCCTCCTCCTCTCTTGGCTCTTAGCAGAGTGCATCTGTTTTCTCTGTTTAGGTTATTGAAACTGTCTACTAATCTAAGATATGCACCTTTCAGTTTATGCTCCTCAGTGTTGTTTTTAATCCAGCAATTGCTTTTCTAGCAGCTGACCTAATAGCACCTCACCCCCCAAATAGGCCAATATTTTCCTGGCCAACTGTTACATGCACAAAGGGCAGATAGGAAATGCCAATTAATAGTGGCGATTAATGACATTGCTGTACATTAGGGATGGGGAATCAGCCTAGGGGCAGCATTCCATCCTGGACAACCTTCTGAGGACCACATGCCAATGGTAGATGGGATCCAGTGGCAGAAGTGGGTGGAGCACTGGATGTGGCACTTACCTTTCTCCAATAGGCCAAATCTCTCCATTGCCCATTCAAACAAACAAGATGAAATATCACGGTCCAAGGACACACGCTAGCCAGGAAAAAGTGCTTGAGGATGATACGGAGCAGGGTCAGTGAGAGGTATAGACTGTGTAACCAGAGGAGTTGTTTGATTCAGGAGATTCCTGCATTTGCCCCCCGTCCCCAAGGTTGCCCTCCTCTGCTTTACATATATGTTGGGTATGGGGAATGTGTAGTCCAACAACATTTGGAGGGCCACAACTCCCATCATTCCTGACCCATGGACATACTGGCTGGGGCTGAAGGGACCCAGAATCCAAGCACATCTGGAGGGCCACAGGTTCCCCATCACTGGCATAGTAGTAATCGTAGATGAGACACCCAGAAATATGTTTTAGAGGGCAAAATCCTTGAAGGACATCCCAGCTCTGTCTGCAGTGTATAGAATCATAGAATCATAGAGTTGAAAGAGACCACAAGGGCCATCGAGTCCAACCCCCTGCCAAGCAGGAAACACCATCAGAGCACTCCTGACATATGGTTGTCAAGCCTCTGCTTAAAGACCTCCAAAGAAGGAGACTCCACCACACTCCTTGGCAGCAAATTCCACTGTCGAACAGCTCTTACTGTCAGGAAGTTCTTCCTAATGTTTAGGTGGAATCTTCTTTCTTGTAGTTTGGATCCATTGCTCCGTGTCTGCTTCTCTGGAGCAGCAGAAAACAACCTTTCTCCCTCCTCTATGTGACATCCTTTTATATATTTGAACATGGCTATCATATCACCCCTTAACCTCCTCTTCTCCAGGCTAAACATGCCCAGCTCCCTTAGCCGTTCCTCATAAGGCATCGTTTCCAGGCCTTTGACCATTTTGGTTGCCCTCCTCTGGACACGTTCCAGTTTGTCAGTGTCCTTCTTGAACTGTGGTGCCCAGAACTGGACACAGTACTCCAGGTGAGGTCTGACCAGAGCAGAATACAGTGGCACTATTACTTCCCTTGATCTAGATGCTATACTCCTATTGATGCAGCCCAGAATTGCATTGGCTTTTTAGCTGCCGCGTCACACTGTTGGCTCATGTCAAGTTTGTGGTCAACCAAGACTCCTAGATCCTTTTCACATGTACTGCTCTCAAGCCAGGTGTCACCCATCTTGTATTTGTGCCTCTCATTTTATTGCCCAAGTGCAATACTTTACATTTCTCCCTGTTAAAATTCATCTTGTTTGTTTTTGCCCAGTTCTCTAATCTGTCAAGGTCATTTTGAAGTGTGATCCTGTCCTCTGGGGTGTTAGCCACCCCTCCCAGTTTGGTGTCATCTGCAAATTTGATCAGGCAATGACACATTACCTATGTTTAGGCAATGTGATTGTGTTGGTATGGAGGGAACAATACTTGTATCTAAACTGATTAAGAGGTTTGGAGAATGTTTCCATGGGAGTAATACATCGCAGATAAGCAGTATCTAGTGTGCAGGCCCAAACCATGAAATGGAAAATACGAGACGACAGAATGTCTTTTCAGTATGCTACTCATCCTTTTACATGTTCTGAATTTGTTTCTTGGGTGAAATCCATGGTGTCTTGGGCTGTTTAAAAGACTCTTAAACCTGCCTAGGTTAGAAGAATGGGTAACCATAGTTTTTGAATAATTAGGAATTATCCTATGTAATATTTATATGAACATGATATTAGCAAGAGGAAACAGTCTGGAAAACATAGCTGAAATGTAGACAATGGGGGTTCTGGTCTATTACCATACCAAAAGATCGTCACATCTGTGAAAGTTGAAAGTGTACAGAATTACAAAGAACAATGCTGATATGTTTCCGGAGTACAAGCTGTACCTTGATAGTTCTTGGTGTGAAGCACAGGATCAAAACTCTGGGATGGTGCCCAGAGAACATCTGATTCATCCCTCAATATAAAGTTAGCCTCTCATAATACAATCTAAGTAATACTGAAAGTAGAGAGTAGAGAGCTGGTGAAGAAGCCTTCAAAGTTAGGGCTGCCATACGTCCGTATATTACCAGGATTTCAAAGGTGGAATTGACGTCTGGGGTGAATTTCCAAAAGGTGGTGCTTTGTCCTGGATCTTTGGCAAGTCAGTTGAAAAAAGGTTGTTGTTTTGCATTAGCTCAACTTTCTGGGTGTCCTGGCCTTTACTTTTTGAAAAATGGCAACTCTAACAAAGTGAAGAGTTCACTTTCCACATGATCTAGATGCCCCTGAGGCCATGTTCATGTGTGTGCAACTGTTGAAGCCAGGCAAGAATGCCATTAACTCAACAGCCCAATTGGTAAATGTGTGCCTGGTTACCTGTAATTAGTGATATTGCCCTACATGCACTGACAAACTGACATGCAAGCAGATTCATTTAAATAATTACCCATGACTCTTTAAAAAAATGTGACCTGTTTATTGCAACTGAGAAGCATTCATAACAGTGCAAACAATTCTTTGGTAGATTTATTTAGCACAATAAAAATAACTAAGACTTCACTTTTGGTAGGAGTTTTTTTTTATAAAAAAAGTAAATAAATATGGAACAATTGCAACTGAAGAAATACTGAGAAAAATGTCATTCGGCCATTGGCCACTGTCTTAAAATGTTACATAGGCTTTAATCAGCAGAAAATGTAAAAAGAAAAAGAAAAACATATTCATTTGTACAATGTTTGAATTAAAAAAAAAATAGAATGAGACCTATTTCCTAATCCAGTTTACCACCAGAGGTGTAGTGGTAATAAATGCTGGAATCTGTATAATTTTACATACTAATTTAGCAAATACTGATTAGATATCTGCTTTATTTAACAAGGGAAAACAGAGGTATATTTGGTTAATGAATACATGGAAAATACTAAAGTGGCCGACACTACAATTGTATACAGAAGTAGGACCCATTGAATTTAATGGGGCTTACTCTCAGGTATGTGGCTATAGCATTACAACCTAAAATACCTGAGCAGGTTTTCCTCCTCCCCTCTTTTAAAACAATACAGCATTGAAAATTAAGGGTGATTGGTAACATTAAAAAACTTCCTCTAGCCAACAATAAGCTTGTTATCGTTCTAGCCCTTGTTTTCGAAATCTATCCAAATTTGTAAGAATTTTAGATAGCAGCTTGGCAAGCACAGTTGGGATCTGGAATTTCAATAAAACAAAATATATTCGTGCACTGAAAGACCTTAAGAATTAAACTCCAAATTTAAATATAACACATAAAAAAGGTATTTTGCTGTAATGGCACAGAGCCAAATATTTGTGTATGAAATTGCCTCACAGTACAAACCTGTGCATGTTTACTCAGAAGTAAGTCCCACTGTGTGTCATGGAGTCTTCTTAGACTGTAATCCAATCCCATCCCCATTAGTTAGTGATTTAGGATAGAGTTCAGGGCTCTGACCACTTATGTTGTGTGTATGTCCATCTGTAGCAGAGGTTGGTATGCTGCCAATAAGACCTGAAACAGGGAATTTCAAAGCAAGGTGCCAGAAGCTTTGAATCTTTGGGATCCAAAGCAGCCTAGTTTTAAGCTCCTCAGCTATTCCAGCCTTGGCAGTGGAACAGCAAAAAAATGTAAAAAAAACCCAACCCCATCTACAGCTTTCCATCCTGGCTGGTAGGGCTTTAGCTCTCAGGCTCCTATTGTCCCTGGTCTGGTTAGGATTGCTCTGTAAGTGTATTTAGGATTGGAGTGCATACAGCATCATGATTGCATTTTGCTTAACACCACCATATAGAGACACAGTTGCTGTCTCCACCAAACAGGTTTCTTGGCTAATTTGGCGATGCACAATATGATAGATAGCAAATGATTTATGCGAGGGAGCTAATGTGCCAAAATATTATTAGACTAGCTTTATTTAATGCACTTCTGTGTTATCAAACAAAATTATTAAGCAAGTTGAAAAGGTTCCTGTATTTGCCCCCCTCCCCTCCTTTTTTAAAGTCCCTGATCCTTAAATCCTAATGATTTAACTTAGTAATCAGTGACTTTGTCTTTAGCATTGGTTAGCAGAGAGAGTGAGAGTATCAGGACTTGAAGAACACTGCTATATTCCAGGGAATTAAGACTTGTTTTCTGGAAAAGCACCATTTAAGAAACCAAACATGTCTGTCAAATGAGGTATGAGTGTTTTCCTTCACTGTATGTAATAATACATGTTGGTTATAAAGAGGCAAAGTTGAAAATACAAAGGTAAACAATGGCAAGTTAATGTAGAAGTACATTTGACACTGCTTTTTTTACCTCTTAACTGGGCACACAGATTCACAAAAAAGTAATCATTAACATGATTTGACACAAGGACTATGGGGGTGGGGAAACAGGCACTATGTGTTATGAAAAAAACCTTAAATGAAACCATATTTTTAAAACAAAGTTTTTAAAGGAAAGAGCTAATCTCAATTCGGTAGGCCTTCTGTCGGATGGGTTTTTCACAAATCACGCCATGGTACAGCTTAGGAACACATCTACAGGAGCAAGTTTTTTAGAACAATTCAGTAGGTAGGTTTCATTTAGAGCTTTTCACTAAGCTCTGCTTCACTATAATTTCTCCACCCCCTTAGTTTAAATGGGCCTGCCCTTTTCTATCCGAACACCTTTGTTTTTACTTTCACATTCCATGACAATACCATGGAATACCATACTAGAGGATATAAGAGGATGTGTACACTGTACCCTTGAGAAATAAGATGTTGGGGAATGATACACTTTTTAACAACCACACAAGGCAGCAGAAATAGGACTAATGAAGCTTTCACAATCCTTGCACCTTGATTCCAAGATAATCCAAATTCACTGACAGGCAGCTATTAATGGGTAAAGGAGTCTCCCTGAAAAGACATGTGGCAGCTTCAGGCACAATGCAGGACCTAAATCGAGAGCGAATCTGACATAGGTCTGATTCTTGGGGGTGGGGGGAGGGGATGCCCATTCAGCTATGCTTTTTTAAGAGCAAAATGACTCCAAAATTAGAGGGCATTATATTAATAACAAAAAGTTGCAGCATGGAGGGCTTCTGTTCAGTTGCCAGTCAGTTAGACATGCCCCCCATGTCTCCCATTTTATTTCCTCTTGCACATGATTTTTCTCCCACTGCAACAGGAATTTAGTATTCTGTGGCAAGTCAGGATGCACAGACCCCATTGGGCAGTCTTTGCCTCACATCCCAATTTCAGGGATTTCCCCTTAATATTAGTGTATGTCTCCAAACCTTGGGAATCCTCCAAGCCAGCTAAAAACTCTCTCTCTCTCTCTCTCTCTCTCTCGTGTGTGTGGTGCCATTTTCACAATATAAGCTACAACATTTGCATCATAGCATCAGAAATAGAGGGAATTATATCTGCTAGAGCTCACCAAAGTTCAGCCCTTGCATCCATTCAAGCAGCAGCAGGGGATATATGAAGTATTCCAGGGGGAAGCAATCTTGGAACAGGTGGAAATGTTACCACTGAGTAACTACAGAGAATCTCTATATGCAGGGGGTTTTTTCCTCTCAGGTGGGTGCCATTGGCATTTTAAGTGAACAAGGGAGGCGTTCATGGTGAGTTCCAGCACCTCTTTTTCTAGAAAAAATATCCCAGGCATTAAATGTTCCAGATGGGATGATGGTGCTTTTGGAAATCTGAGTTCTAGAATGTATTTCCCCACCCCTAGACATTAAGCTGATAAGAGGATTTGCTATTACTGTACTGCTTCAGTGTCCTATGGTTTGCAGTGCTGGAGGGGTAGGGCATTTTATCCTATCTATTACATCAGATAAGCAGTAGGAACCCTCTATGGTCCAATCCAAACAATATTTTCTCAAGGGCAAACACTGCAAATGAGGCCAGAAGGGTCCAGAAAAATCAGGTTAAGTCCTAGCTCAGGTTTAGCTCAATGTGCAGTAGTCAGAGCAGCCTCTTTTTTGTTATTGTTGTTGTCTTGCAGCAGTGCCTTTACTTTCATGAGTACACAGACTTTTGAATTACGTTACACAGTGCAAGGCTGAACACATATTTTATGCCTATGATTTCTAATCATCTCCTAGGTATGGAACAGAAAAATAAAGAAGGGCAACTGTGGACAGTGGATAGGACAGAATATTAATACTGCAAAGAGATGCGGGAGAAAACCGCAGCAAAATTTGTGTTCTCCACTCTCACCGTCCTTTAGAATTGGCACTGCCACAGAATATTGAGTAAATACTGAGTGGATGCTGTAAAGACATGATGTGAGTAGCTAAATAAGTAGACTATGGGTCTTAAACTAGCTCCATCAAGGTATTTGACAGAAGGCAAGCTAGACTATCAACACTGGGCCGGACAGTATTTTAAAAACAAAAGCTGTGGCCCTCTTCATCCTAATAAATGGCTCCTGACTTCCTTTGGCCAGTGTATGAAGAAATAAAAGCCAGCCTAATAAGAATCAAAACCACTTGACAAAGGAGTCTTTAAAAAGTAGCACCAAGTTTTCAGTTTGTTGAACCTGAGAAGATTGTCCTGTCCTGTCCTGTCCTGTCCTGTGTATTCCCTTTCAATACTTTTACACGGTAGTTTTTCAGTGGGCAAGCATGTAAAATAATACATTTTCTTACACTGTTACACCATCATTTGAATGCTGTCCTGCAAACGTCCTGTTGTGGTTTTATGCCTAATGTTACCTGTATTTTGCCATCAGCAGATATCCATATGACTTGTATTGTGACCATTGCAAAGCAGGCTTAGAGCTTATTTTCTTTGCTAACAGTTTGTTTTAAGCAGACAGGACAGCAAACTCCTTTAAGCTTCACAGGTGTTGCACAATCATTCGGTGGACACGATTCCACGTAGCAGGTTATCTGGCCAACCTGTGTTAGGAAAATTATAGCAACAGCTTAGCACACATCCTAATAAAGTGTTCACTAGCCAGTGACATTATTAAGCAAATATCCCCCCACAACTGGCATTAGAATCATAGAGCTGGAAGAGAGCACAAGGGCCATCGAGTCCAACCCCCATTATGCCATGAGCTACTAAGATCACTAATTTAATCAGTTTTCTACTACAGAACCCACACTTAATCTAATGGTTATTAATGTCAGCCCTGTTTAAAGTTATTGTCCCTAACCCACACTTCAATGTATGAGACTCTCTTCAGTCCAATGGACATAGAGATAATAGCTAGCTTATCCTGAAAAATCTTCAAGAGTTTGAATTGTATGAATTGTGTAATTTGAGTTAAATTGGAAGAAATTTCAGGAATCTTCTTCTGCACTGTTTATTCAGTAATCTGCATTACCAGTTTTCACTAGTTTTGGGAAGGGGTAGGAAACAGGACCCCACTAGCCAGGCCCCACCCCCACCCCAAACCACACTAGCAAATTTCAACCATGCCTTTGGTTTCTGAAACATTAGCAGGCATTGCTCAAAACATTTTACAGCTGTAAGAACTAAGGGCTGGCTCTTCAAAATAAAATAAAATAAAGCTGGAATTCTTAGGAAGCCAATTTCTGTGCCCATTTCCATACTGTTCTGGCAGTAGCTCCTTTGGTGAGAAGACAAGCCAGTAGACTGACTGAACAGAAGCTTGTCTTGCTGGCAGTGAAAACTGTTGAGGCCAAAAAAGCAATCAGAGTTCCAGCTGTATTCGTTATTCACTCCTGCATGCACAAATCACTTCTTCAGTTTGCAAGTGCAAAAACTGCAATGGCAATTTACAATTGAGCACACTGCAAAATCAGTATGATGCTGGAACCCTATTCATGCTTGCTTGGGAATACGCCCCACTGAACACAGTGAGCCATGTCTAGGTAAGTGTGGAGACGCCATGTTAAAACCATGAAAATGAATATTCTGATTACTCACTTTGCATTCGCACGTGGTGCACGGGTCTTTTTTCCAGGTTTCGTTACTGGAATAAGATTTACCCTTTTCGTCAGTGCATTCAGTTCTACTGAGCCGTGATTCAAGTTTCTTTATCTGAAAAAAGGCAGGAAATCCTTGTTTAGCTATCTGTATACTAAAAGCGTTCCCATTACCTTTTGTATGCAAGCCAGTAAAACCACAGAAACACAGCCTTCTCTTATGTACTCAAATTGTATCCAGTTTGTTTTACTGAGAGATGCAGTCCAATAGGGTTCCTGGCTGGTTGCGGAGACTGAAGATCTGCATTTAATGTCACATTTCATTTGACTGTCAAAAAACTCTGCTACTGGAGGGAATGGGGTCAAGCAGAAGTTACAGTCTGGTAGTTTCCAAAGTGGGTATTTCTGGTCTGTGACCGTAATAAATCAATTCATTCATTCATTCAAAGTGGGTGGTACTGCCCCCTGGAGGGCAGTGGGATTACCTAAGGGGGGGCTCTAAGAGGCAAGGGGGCAGTAAGAGGTATAAATGACTATGATACTCTGAAAACCTGGTATTACTAGATCAAGTTCATTGATTTTGTTTAATTTTTTGAACTATATTGGATTTTGGATAAATGCAATTAATTGCTACTGTTTTGAATTTTGCTGTGTTATCATATTCCTTACTAAGTCACGCAAAAGGCCATTCTGAACAATGCTTTTTATAGGGGTAGGGGGCACTGAGGGATGAGGTTATGGAACCAAGCAGGTGATGGCCTGAAAAGGTTTGGGAACCACTGTTCTAGGCCCAAGATTTGCTGCTTGTTGATGGCATGTATTCCCACATGAAAGGGCATATGTGTGTAATTGAAGATGTCCTACTCACTTCAAGAGATGGAAGCCAAGAGATGGATTTGAGATGTCCAGTGTTGAGCACAATGAAGTTACATATTTACTGTATGTATATCCAGCCTTCATTATGAGGAGCTCAAAGCAACATTCATAGTTCTCCGCCACCCTCACAATAGCCCTGTGGGAATCCTTTTTTCTCTCTCTCTATTTGCACTTCCCTGTATCTCAACTACAAGTGGTAGTCTTAATGCACAAGTGTTCCTTCTCTCTCTCTCTCTCTCTCTCTCTCTCACACACACACACACACACACACACGCAACTGGATCTTAAACATGCTTCCACTGCCACAAGGATTCCTTCAATGAGTGGAAGGGCCTTTAATTCAGTGGGGGGAAACTGTGCTTCCTTTACCAATTCCTTTCACCACTCTCGGGCCACCTTCTATGCCATCCCAAAGGGTCAACCAGACCTCCAGTGAATTGTTTTTCCTGTGTGCAACTCCCAACCCATTCCACAGTGGGTGCCGATAGCATACTTTCAACCCTAACCATGCACTCTTTCATACAAGGAGCAGGGAGCTTAAGACAGTGACTCTCCACCCACTTACCTGGGTGTAAGTCCCATTGGACTCGTGAGACTTACTTCTTATCAGACATGTATGGGATTATACTGCTGAAACACTTTCTAATATTATCTGAAGAACCTTTTTTATGTTCACCTGTTTTCTGAGGTCTGTGATAGTTTTTTGCATGTCACCAACAAATTCTTTGAAGTCATTCATGACGGGTGCTTTCTTGCGCTCGTCAAAGGATGAGATGGTGAGGTTAGAGAATTTATTCTCCCTTGCAGAACTGCAACGACAAAAAGTTAACCAGTATATTAAGCAGGAGGGGCAACCCATTTCTTTTTTGAAACGTAGACGTTTCTATAAAGAAGGTTAGTTTACTAGTATGCTTATGCTGTACAAATTAGGCTTAGGTGTTTCAATCCCTTGCAGACACACAATGGAGGATCTAGCAATGGCAGAAAAGAATTAGGAATTTTCCACAACGGTTATGATTTGCAATGGTGACCCTTTGGTACTGAATTAGATGCAGAGTTGATATAGTCATTAAAAGTTCTTAGACTCCACATATTGAAGACCAGATGGCAACTGCTTTCTCCTCAGGATGTTTTTGAAATAGGTGTTGCTGCTGTAACAGAATTCTTTCACAATGTGAAACTTGGCATAAACTTTACCGCATGCAGAAAAAAAGAATATGCTGATTGGCAGGTGTTCCCTTTATTGAGCTTTACATTCTGCAGACTTACCGGTAAAATAAATGCCAGTAATACATTCCAAAAAAATCAGAAGACTAGCAGTCTAATAAAGTGCTTTAATCCTCTCTCCTCCCCATGTTACTTGAGATAAGGATGAGAAAGCCAGCCAAGATCAGGAAAGAGAATGCAGATTTAAAAGTCTACAGCAACAAGTGAACACATGCATTATTATTCTCCAGTGTATAAAATGTGACCTATGTAGCAGAATTACTATTTCCTCTTCCAACAGAATCTCAGTTTTACTTACAAAGAAAACTTAAGCAACACTTAATGAAAGAAGGAGATTGGCGCTGAAGGGAAAAACAGCACAGTGTAGGATTCAGTCCTAACATCCCCATTGTACTTGAATGCTAAAAACTGACCCCTTTGTATTGCAGGAGGGTTGGAGAAGAAGAGCATAGGCTTGAAACAATCTGAAAAGGTTGACCAAAGCAACATCGCCATTACTCACTAAGTCTTTACACTTCACCATGGAAAGATATTACATCATTAAGGTGTAGAATGACCCTGTTATTCTTTAGAAGATATATGGAAATTTAATTTTATATTAAATATCCATATATTTGAAAAGAATATATATTTAAAAGAATGCTCCAACTACCGCACAATTGCACTCATTTCACATGCTAGCAAGGTTATGCTTAAAATTCTACAAGGAAGGCTCAAGCAGTATATGGACCGAGAACTCCCAGAAGTGCAAGCTGGATTTAGAAGAGGCAGAGGAACCAGAGACCAAATTGCAAACATGCGCTGGATTATGGAGAAAGCTAGAGAGTTCCAGAAAGACATCTACTTTTGCTTCATTGACTATGCAAAAGCCTTTGACTGTGTCAACCACAGCAAACTATGGCAAGTTCTTAAAGAAATGGGAGTGCCTGATCACCTCATCTGTCTCCTGAGAAATCTCTATGTGGGACAAGAAGCTACAGTTAGAACTGGATATGGAACAACTGATTGGTTCAAAATTGGGAAAGGAGTATGGCAAGGCTGTATATTGTCTCCCTGCTTATTTAACTTATATGCAGAATTCATCATGCGAAAGGCTGGGCTGGATGAATCCCAAGCCGGAATTAAGATTGCCGGAAGAAATATCAACAACCTCAGATATGCAGATGACACAACCTTGATGGCAGAAAGTGAGGAGGAATTAAAGAACCTTTTAATGAGGGTGAAAGAGGAGAGCGCAAAATATGGTCTGAAGCTCAACATCAAAAAAACAAAGATCATGGCCACTGGGCCCATCACTTCCTGGCAAATAGAAGGGGAGGAAATGGAGGCCGTGAGAGATGTTACTTTCTTGGGCTCCATGATCACTGCAGATGGTGACAGCAGTCACGAAATTAAAAGACGCCTGCTCCTTGGGAGAAAGGCGATGGCAAACCTAGACAGCATCTTAAAAAGCAGAGACATCACCTTGCCAACAAAGGTCCATATAGTTAAAGCCATGGTTTTCCCAGTTGTGATGTATGGAAGTGAGAGCTGGGCCATAAAGAAGGCTGATCGCTGAAGAATTGATGCTTTTGAATTACGGTGCTGGAGGAGACTCTTGAGAGTCCCATGGACTGCAAGAAGATCAAACACATCCATTCTTAAGGAAATCAGCCCTGAGTGCTCACTGGAAGGACAGATCGTGAAGCTGAGGCTCCAATACTTTGGCCACCTCATGAGAAGAGAAGACTCCCTGGAAAAGACCCTGATGTTGGGAAAGATGGAGGGCACAAGGAGAAGGGAACGACAGAGGACGAGATGGTTGGACAGTGTTCTCGAAGCTACAAACATGAGTCTGACCAAACTGCGGGAGACAGTGGAAGACAGAAGTGCCTGGCGTGCTCTGGTCCATGGGGTCACAAAGAGTCGGACACGACTAAACGACTAAACAAACAAAAATTTTATATTCCCAGTCACAGAATAGTGTATCCTGGAAACAGCAGAGCAGGAATTTCTACTCTGCAGATGCATACTGCTTCTAAAGGTAATAATAAGTACAACGAAGAACTTGACCTCTTTCCATCTCTTTGCAGCTGATGGAAGTATATAAAACGGTAGCATTTAAAAGGCAAAAACCAGGGTTGTTGTTTTATTTTTGGTCTTCCCTGCTTTTTTAAATAAATTTTTCAGTTATTTAATAGTATTTTTATTATATGTTAAGAAGTGTATCATATTAATTTTAACCCTTGTTTATTGTTGTTTCATAGTGCTGAAACATGCACAGTCCCCCCCCCCAATTTTTATTACCTTTGCATGTTTTTAAATGCCTCTCACTAGAAATAAGCATATGTTAAAAGACTGACTCGTAAACAAATGGAAGATTAAAGACTTGGTGATTGTCTTAGATCAGGGTTTTTAAACGATAAAATATGAAACTCTAACAAACATTCATACTGGCTAATTTCCAAGCATGGTATCCCATTACAGGTTTTGCAAGCTACAGACTATTTTACAAATCTGAGACCGTTACAGTGTGTACTACACACATTTTTAAGCATCTCTCCCACCTACCAAAATGACAAGAACCATACACTTCAACTTCCTAAGATATTTACATCATGCTTGCATCCTCCTGCTCAGAGAAAAAAAAACCAGGAGGAGAGAAGGAAAAGCCAAAATGTAATTTAGGTGTGTTGTTGATGCAACTCATAAATTACTTTGCCTATGCACTGAAGGCATGACGTCATAGTCCTAGGAAGGCCCATCTATCATCCTAGGTGGAAAAAGTACACTTGGATTAACAAAGCTGTTCAGGATTTTTATGATTAAAAGCCCTGTACATTAGTAGGACATACAAGATTCTTAAAAAATAAATGTTATTTGCTTTAGAACTGGAATTGTATTAATTAAAGAATCCAATAATTCTGTTCCTAACATGATATTCTGACATGTTTGTTGCTTCCCATTAACAAGGCTTCCCCAGATATCTCCCTCGTAAGATGCTAAGGCTAACTAGAGCCAAGTGTCATCAGCATACTGACGACACCTCGCTCCAAAACGCCTAATGACCGCTCCTAATGGCTTCTTGTACATATTAAACAGCACTGGAGATAACACACCTTTGTTGTATGATTCACAATCCATTTGGTCTTATCAAAATGATTTTGAATAGTAGTCTGGCACTCAGTGCATGAATCTCTGGAAGGATAGCAACCCATAAAAAATACAACAGCGCAAAAAATGACCGCATTTTGGATAGCACAAGGTAGCCAACCTTGCAATCTGAATAACCATGTATTTGCCCCGAATTATTTTTCCTATGTAAGATAAAACAAGTCTGGGATTCTGAATGATTGCTTGTGATGCATTTGCCAAAAAAGAGTTCTTTCTAAAGCTATTTAATTATAAAGCACTTGAAATAAAAGGAATGCAACTTTTGGAAACGAGTAAGACATACGACCTCCTAGCTGATAAGATACGGCCACATTCCTAAAATTCATGTGCTGGAGGACAAAAGTAAATAAAGACTTGCAGCAGAATGTTTGGGAGGTGTCCAAAGACTTCTGTGCCTCAGTAATAACATGCATGTTTACATATTGTCATTTTTATAAATCAATCAATCAATCAATCAATCAATCAATCCTTTACCTTGTTTTTGACATTTTCATGTGCTTTGATGGCTTGTCTTCACGGAAACTGAAATCAAGGGAACGTCTTCCTCGAAAGTGGTAAGAGAATGCATTGAATTGTCCTCTAGTTCTACAGTCTGAAATTGAACAGAATGTTATGGGGTTTATGAACAATTTTTCGGATTTTAAAGACGTGAGTTAAACCACAGAGCCTAGGACTTGCCTATCAGAAGGTCGGCGGTTCAAATCCCCGCGACAGGGTGAGCTCCCGTTGCTCGGTCCCTGCTCCTGCCAACCTAGCAGTTTCAAAGCACGTCAAAGTGCAAGTAGATAAATAGGTACCGCTCCGGCGGGAAGGTAAACGGCGTTTCCGTGCACTGCTCTGGTTCGCCAGAAGCGGCTCAGTCATGCTGGCCACATGACCCGGAAGCTGTACGCCGGCTCCCTCGGCCAATAAAGCAAGATGAGCGCCGCAACCCCAGAGTCGGCCACGACTGCACCTAATGGTCAGGGGTCCCTTTAGCCTTTACCTATTGTGCCCAGTAAACTGTAATTGGCTTTTTAATTTTCTGGCTTGGAAAACTGTATGGAAAAGCTCAAAATAACCTCTTCCCTAAAATCTTTTAGTGAAATATCAAGTACCTCTCTGAGAGACATACAGAGAGAGAGAAACTTCACTTGCAGTGAAATTAAACATCTACAGGAAGTTTGATTATACATTGGAGGCCGAGGTAGGCAGCTGTTTGCAGGTGCTATATACTTTACCCCTTAAGAGATGGGAAGACAGGGGTGGTGAATAGTATGGGAACTCACACTAGGGTTGTGGAAAGCTTTCCTACAGTAGATTTGCTGGTTGAGAGTGGAAGAGAATGTTAGTGATGTGCTATTTACTGCTGAGAGGAGGTTTGTTCATCAAAGTTCTCTGCCTGAAAGATTTGAACAGATTCCTTTTTCAGGGGGCATCACTATGCAGATCTGTGGTTTGAGAGGGTTGGCTTATGTTGATGCTTTAAGATGTGCGTTTCAGGAAAGCTCAAAAGGGCAAGAAAGCTGTCAAGGGTATTGGAAGAAAAGGAAGATGAAATATTAATCACTTTTGAGAGAGACACACATGGAGAGAAACTACTTTGTTTACCAGATTAAAACAGTAATTCTGTGGCGGCAATGGTTTGTCAAACAAGTATCTGGGTTTTGTTATTATGCAGAGGAAGAGCCACTTTGTTTTTCTTTTTATTACACTGCTTTACTACTTGCTAAACGTTCCAGGAAGAGATACATTTCAGTAACAAATATAATTTAAAATCTATTCTGGAAAAGTATTTAGGAGCAAGGAAAACAGGAAGGATAATGAAAACAGATACATTCTATTATGTAGTGTTGCAATAATAAAGACTCAATAAAAAGGCCAGCTTTTTATAGTATACACCTTGGCCAAACTGTCAAATTTTGATTGACAAGTGCTTGTTTGGAGAATAGGAGCAATGTTTCTCATTTCAATATATAGAGGAACAAAATGTCTGTAAGTATAATAATAGCCTCTTCTTGCTTTGTCTCAAAATAGTGAAAACTTCCATTAGCTGCTGAGGAAGAAAGGGGTGCAATGGGAACAAATTTGGAATTGGGAGAGCCTGAAATATAAATACCCACGGTTTGAAGATCCTCACTCCCTTTAGAGTGGGGCCTAGGCCCCTCCAAATTCAGCTGCAGCTCAAAGTGGGCCTCTGCTAGTGTGTCACCCTTGCCAGTTCTTCCTACTTCTTCCTAAACCAACAAAAACCTTAATCTTTGGGAGAGGGGTAACCACCTGTGTTATGAACTGAAGTTCTCACCCTGGGCCAGCAGGGGGATACTGTAGATAGTTATGCAAATAAGGGATTGGAAGTGACGTTCAGTGATTGGATAGTTTTAGAAAGTTGTTACAATTATGTGTACTGGAGCTCTATATAAGCAGGCTGACTGAACCCTTCAGCTCAGTTCTGTTCTGGCCTCTGAAGAAACAAAACAAGAGCTGTTTGAAGAATCACTGTGTCGTCTGATATGTTCACCCACAACTTAACAACCTGTGGTGAAGGTTCATTAGAGATAATGTAGGCACTGGTGACCTCTTCTTGATGGAAAATGGAGGTCCTGATCATGTTGAGGACTGTTATTCCATTGGGGCTCATGGGATTTACATTTCTTTCTGCCTCTAAAAGTGAAGGGGTTGGGGCAGGAGGAGACTACAAACTTCACGCACGCCAACTAAATTCCAGTGCAGAAGAGACAATGAGTCCTGTCTTGTTCCTAGTGAGCTTTCACAACTGCCACTTCCTCTCCTTCCCAACTTTTGTTATTGTTTTGTCTGGGAAGGGGCCAGGGGGAATTGACCAGGATGACTGTCTAAGAGATAAGGATAAACTTTACTGTAAACAGTGCTAGCCATAGACTTCTCTTGAGGAGAGCAGATGAGGTTCAGGCAAAGTGAGCCAATGCATACTCACATGCTATAGTCCAAACTGAACATGTATTAAGCATAATGAATACGACGTCTAGGTTTTGCCAGATATGAGCCACTAAAGCACAGTGCTTATTAAATACTTGTATATCACATGGATACTCCATCTTTCTTCAAATGTCCTTATTGGGGAAGGAGGGCATGCATGGGTGTTTTATTTTTCATCCTTTCTCACCAGCCTTTTAAGATTGGGTTAGAATGGTCATTCCAGGGGAGAATGCTCACTTCTCAAAGATTTCCCGATAGGGCAGGGATTTGAACCCATGTCCCTAGAGTTCCATTTTAAGAAGTTTTGCGCTATGCCACCACATTCAGCAGGATTTGTGCAAGAAGAACTAAAAGCCTTAGAACATCTAAACAGCTGCTTTGAGAAAGGAACTTGATAACCTATTTTCCTCAACTTGTTTCCCTGCCTAATATCAATGAAGTTATTTCAGAGGTCCAGAGGGTGGCAACACAAGAATGGTCCTTTACTGTGGTGGCTCCTCTTCTGTAGAATGCTCTCCCCGGGAAGGCTCGCCTGGTACCATGATTATATATATCTTTCAGCACCAGGCAAAAACTTACCTCTATAACCAGGCCTTTGACCATTAACTATCTGTAGCCTTTTGGAAGTGGAGGGATGTTTTTAATGTATCTATGTGGGGGGTTTTTTGGGTCTGTCTGTTAATTGCTTTATCAACCCAAAGCAACTTAGATGCAAACAAATTCAATAAATAAATAAATAAATAAATAAATAAATGCCTTTTCAGAATAATTGTGTGTGGGTGTCTACCTACCTTCACAGCAATCTTGCCACATCCTGAGATCTACTTTAGGAATTTCATCGCAGCTTCCATATCCATGTGGGAACTCAGCCACTCTGAAAACATCACGTTGCACTCTGGTTATGTTGTCGCCATTGTCACACAGAATTCTGGCAAGGGATGCCTGCTTGATCTGAGTCAACTGAGATGGAGTAAACACACCTGGATTCTCATGCCATAACCTATAGTCTCACATAAAGTAAGAATAAATCATTAGACAAATCTCAATTAAAAAAAAATATGGATAGAACATTCCATCGGAAGATGGAATTAAACTCTGCAATTATCAGGACTGTGGGTGGGAGTCAACTAAGTTGTTGCATGCATGGAACAAGGTGTGCTTGCACAATGGGACTCCACCTCCATGAATCACCACTGCCTGATGGCGAGTATTTCTTAGCTCACCTGCCATTTCGACCCTTAAATGAAAATCCAGTGTCAATATATTAAAATACTCCAGTACACCAGGACTAGTCTGTCCTTTGAGAAGATAGGCAAATTGCCTTGAGCATTAAAATAACTGCAAAATGGTGGTCAGTTATTTACTGTTCTTTGTGAGACATACACTGAAATGAGCTCACAGTCTTTCAATAAAAACCCACTCCATGTTTTACTTCCCTTCACTTACATGGTGGGAGAGGGGAGGCAAGCCCTTTTTTTGGTGTTCCTATTATTAAACAGAGACACGGGTGGCGCAGTGGGTTAAACCACAGAGCCTAGGACTTGCCGATCAGAAGGTAGGCGGTTCGAATCCCTGCAACGGGGTGAGCTCCCGTTGCTTGGTCCCTGCTCCTGCCAACCTAGGAGTTTGAAAGCACGTCAAAGTGCAAGTAGGTAAGCGGCGTTTCTGTGCACTGCTCTGGTTTGCCAGAAGCGGCTTAGCCACATGACCTGGAAGCTGTACGCCGGCTCCCTCAGCCAATAAAGCGAGATGAGCACCGCAACCCCAGAGTCAGCCACAACTGGACCTAATGGTCAGGGGTCCCTTTACCTTTACTGTCAATCAGACCTGAGAAGCTATGTTATACTGTTTAAGACAAGGGCTCTTTTTTTCAGCTGGAACTCAGTTCCGGCATCTCTCAGCTGAGTGCCATTGCCATAAGAGAGGCGTTCATAGTGAGTTCCAGCACCTATTTTTCTTGAAAAACAGCACTGTTAAGACCATGGGTCCATAGCACCAGGCTACATTAACTGGCAGTGGCTGTCCTGGATGATTAGACAGGGGCCTTCTGATGCTATCTGGCAATGCCATGGATAGAATCTGTTGCTTCTGTATGCAGAGCAAATGCTCTACTGCACATCATTCTGAGATCTAACAGCAGATTCTGATCTATATTCTGCCTGCCTTTCAATTTCCCTGAACATGGCCTCCCCACCCCCAACCAATTCCTACATTTTTACCACAGGGTACTCTTCCTCCTATACTACTAGCCTGTTATGGTAACTGAAAGACTAATTAAGTATAAGAGAGAAAGAGGATACACAGCCACTATAGCTGATTACTGTTAAGATGGTGAAATTATTAATTTTGAATTATTATTTTATTTTCTACCAAAACTTACCTGTCCCCATCTCGGAGACGCTTAAACTGTGTGCTCAGGAGACACATCAGCGTTGGTCCCAATCTGCTACCAGGAATTAAATCTTCCACCATAAGAGCAGGAAACAAATCTATGTTCAGTGGTGAACCATATAACCTATTACAAGTAAGATGAATGATTGAGGATTTATAAAAATGTATTCCAAATATTGTTAAATTACTCCATGAATATACCATATTTTATAAATACCATATTATATTAAGGACTGGTTAACTTCCATAGGAAGTCCCCCCCCCCTTTTTGTAATGTATACAATATCTTTTTGGTTGTTGTTGTGTTTTGTTTTCTACATGTGTACTATTTCTTGTTTCTTCTGTTTTGTGTCTTATTGTACTGTGTGCACCTAAAATTTTGTATATTTTTCAGTAAAGAATATGAAATAAAAAGTAAAAAAAGGATAAATGATTGAAGATCATACAGTACACACAATTTCAGCCTTATACCACTTTGAAGAATGACAGCTGAAATGTCACACAGTTGGAGGTAGAAAGATGGCAGTCTGGTTTTTACTTTGGTTGCCTTCCCCTTGTGTGTTTATGTAGGACTTAATTTGAGCCAATGCTCCCATTCCCCTTTTTTCTGTACTCGCTGACTGTTTGGATGTGTACAGTGTCTTTCCTTTCCCAGACTGAGGATGAGCTCATATCTGTAGGATTAGTCAGCACAGCTTCCAGGCAGGTTTGAGCCCTTATTTCCATTTGACTTCTGAAAGCTGATTTCTAAAGCAAGGTAATGTAAACCTTTGCTGTTAACTCAGAAGGTAACCTCCAACATTTTAAACATTAGTTGGTTCAGCAAATCTATCAAATAAATCCATCTATCTAGATAGCACAAAGGCATTTTTAGTTTTGTCTAAGGGCAGTAGTGTCATATGCAAGTTTAAATATGTGTATATAAAATATTGACAGACTGCCATGAAACTAAACAATCTGGGTTGTATCCTGGTTCCTCATCCTCTTCTCTCTCCTATAGCCCAACCACACACCCTCAAAATCTCTTCTCAAGAATCAGGGGATCCTCTGGAGCAGATCTGGGGAGCATGCAAGGAGAGGAGGAGGAGGAGGAGAAGTCTTGTTGTGTGAGCAGAAGTGTTGGATACAACCCTTTGAAAGTACATAACTTACAATTGAGAGTTTTATTGTTTTGGTTTAAAGAAATAAGAATGTTTAGTTCCCACCAAATAAGTACATTTTTATTTTAAGTCACATTTATCTAACACTTACCTCCTGAGTTTCTCTCTGATGTCAGGATTCTTGATTTCATTTTTCAAATCTTCAAACGTGTGCGCCGAAGAAAGGTTACAGTAAACTCTAAAATCGTGGTAAGGTGGTACTCCGTGATCTCTACCTCTTTGAATATTCATTGCGGCCAGATCTAACGCTACCGCGCGAGCCATGGAGAAAAGCCTCTCTGTCAATTCCGTATTAAGCAACTGCGACGTCACACGCATCTTACCAGCCACACCAAATAAACCCCTTAGAAGTGGATCAATGCCTCCTTCGTTTACAATCCGAAACGGGGAGAAGAACGCTTTATGAAGAGGTATGTGGCCTTGTGGAATAGTCTCAAAGTTTTCATCCAAGCGATACAGTATGGGATTGATCAGTGTGTGACCAAACCTAAAAGCGGCAGTTGCAAATTCATTAGTTATTCCAGAATTAATATTGGGGTCGTAACCTTTATATTCGCCAAGCATCTTCAATCCTACCTCTCCCAAAATCTTAGGCAGCCAGTGGCTGTACGTTATGTGTTGCATTTCTGCACCCACAATCTTGCGTGTTTCGTGATAAATTGTATCGCCGTCCCAGTGTGGGTTGAGTTTCAGCAACTCTGTGGCAATCCTGTTGTGTTCTCTGAACCACAAGGTATGCATGCTGGTGAGTCCCAGCTGTTCATTGGCGCGATGGTCGCCAGCTAAGAAGCAAGGAATCGGGCTCTCATTCTCATCCCGCATACATTCAGTTGGTGGGCCGGTAGCAAACGGCAGAAGAGGCTTCCCAGATCTCTGCACAATGCCCTGTCTCAGAAGCCCCCTGTGGCTTGCCAAATCTCTGATTTCTTGTGCCTCGTGATCCGAACTGCCATACACATTGGATGCATCGATATAGGAAGTCAGCTGGTTGATCTGTTCTCGTGGGTAAACCGAATTCATGAGAAGGGAAGTCATGCCACTTCCGCACACCGGGCTGGAACGCACAAAAAACATGCACCGCGCTCCGTTCCTGACTCGAGGGTCGTTGGGCGGCACCATGATAGAGAAACACGGCGGGTCATTTGTACAAACGGAGCTGCAGTGCTGGCCATCAGAAAACCTGGCTTCACTCAGAGCAGCAACGGTGGAGTCCAGGTCATGGTCTAGGAATTGGCCCCATTGCATCAGCATATGGCTAAACTGGTCGTCGGGGGTTATTGTTTCCGTCCCGATCAGCGTGGTTGAAACCAAGCGTGGCATTGGGAGTGTGTGTCCATTGTAACGCCGGTTAGCTCCAATGCCCCTTGGCAAATTAAATCCGTTTTCGTAGACCGACTTCAGCAAGCGTTCAAAGGCTGTTAGGGAGGCTCCCCACATCGGATGCTGCAAGTTATTGCAGGTCCCGTCATGTGTTCTGTATTTCTGGTGATAGCACATATCTGAGCAGTTATTCACACGCCTATGGGCCGTGCAGCCTGAGAGGTTAGCTATCAGATTCAAATACTGTGGAGACACAAGGTCATTATAGTGATAGCCTGAAACAGATAAGAGAGAGAGAGAGAGGGAAGGATCAAATACTTTTTAAGTCCTGGAAACAAAAATGCTATTACTACATGCTTTAATCAGTTTTAACCATGTAAAATCTACAACACTGATAAACTAATTAGTTGGGGGGCATTTTAAATCAGGGTACTGTGAGTTAAGGGGCACAGTTCTTTACCTTTTGAGGCTCTTTTGGTTCTGGTGTGTTACTGCAATAGGGAACGGGAAAGAAAATATTAAAGATAGCCATTTTCTTTCGGAAAGAAGGCACAGGAGCTATGATGAATGATAGCTTCTGTTTATTATATCATAAGCTGGAATGCTCCCTCTTTCGATATCTCAAAAGGTGTGACATTACTTGATCTATTAATCAACCAGTTGACTTCACACACAGTCATTACTGAGAATACAGCCCCCCTTGAGTACAATGGGGCTTGCCCACGAGGAAGTGGGTGTAGGGTTGCAGATCACCTTTAGGAGGTAGCACAAAAATTATTCTTCTCCTAGTAGTATTTAAAAAAAAATTACTTAAAGTAATGGGAGACAAGCTACAAATAACTTAATCACAAACTTTTTTTTATTTTAAAAAAACTGATCCACCAGTGCCCTTGGGTTGCACATAATGCTGGCATAATACAATGCTATGGAAATTAATTTTTGCATGAGCTGCAGCTTCCACAATCCCTGTTTTGCTTCCTTGGTAGGGCAGCAGCTTAGGGGTTATGTATTTTGTGACCTGTTTCTCTCAAACAGACATCTATTAGAAGCCAAGGCTTATTCGTAAAAAGAGACAATAAGAAAAAACTAAGATCATTTCAGCCATATCCAGTATGATTGTATTATTGCCAGAATTGTTTGTGAATTACTTTTTATGAATGATTAAAATTATTTTATATAATATTTAATCTAGAAAAGTTAGGATTTTATTCACAACTATTCTTGAAAATGGTTTGTTTCGACAAGACTGCTATCAAATATATCACAACAGTTCCACACACAAAAATGTACATTGTCAAAGTCATGATCTGGATTTGGAGAATGCGACAAGACAATAAACGACTCAGTATATATTATCTGTTTAGTCCGAATTATGTGGAGAAATCTGGGTAGTTGAGTTACTCTGGTAACGTTTCAAAACCATGACGCATAGGACCTTGTGCTGAGTTCAGGGTTTTGAGTTTTAAGTTTTTAGTATACTTTAATAAAACTCACAATTACTCAAAACAGAAGAACCATCCTAAGGAAAAGTATTTCCTTTCACATGATCAACCTGGCTGCAGCAGTTCATTACCTGCCAAGTCCTAGCTGTTCTGCCTTTCTAAGATTTTAGTATAGCTTCCAACTACTTTGCAACATGCCTCAAGCACAGATAACTGCCAAAAACAAGGCCTTGGAGGGATTATTAAATAATTGCTTTACAAATGCCAATTTAGGTTATGCTGATACATTCAGACTAAGGATAGGGGTATTCCACCGGGGCAATTATTAGGCGTTGTCAGAAAAGGTGATTACAAAACACACTTTAAGCAGTGTGGATATAGAGTTGCTCATATCCTTAAGCAGCATTCCACACTGGAGGGAAAGAAGTAAAGAGTCATATGTGTTTCATTTGTGAAACCCTCGGATGAACCTTTATGGTGCTAAAACATCTTATTTGCATTTGCTTTCAGAATAAAGTATGCAGTTTGAGAGAAGAGAGACACTTTGAAAGAGAAGAATGAGGGGAGGGAGAGAAAACATTTTTTAAAATCCCGCTATGTATTATTTTTGAATTTAACCTGTTGTGTAGGTGCTATTTGAGGCACTTACAAAAGTTTCACATACTTCATTCCAGCTCATGGAGTCTACACCACTCTTTTCAGCTGTTCGGTGTCAATGCCATGTGTCAATGGCTATTCCTTCATTTGGGGCACAAACTATCTGAGCCCCAGCCTGCAGTTCAAGAACCCTAGCTTCAAATTCCTAGCCTGTTCCTTCACCCACCACAACTTTCTTCCCACCCAAGCGCTTTATGTTTGTGATGAAACATTTAATTTTACCCCCAAAGCACCTTTTCTGGAGGGAAAATGAAACCAGGTTGCTCACCACCATTGCTTTTCACTTTGCCGGAAGCAGTTTAGATCAGAGACATCTTCCTGGCGCAAGACTTTTTTTAAAAAAGAAGGTTTCAGATGTGCATTTTATTTATTATATACAGCTAAAACCCTACGCTCAAGATACACCAGCCGAGAGGACAGAGGAGGTGGAGAAGGCCCACTATGCCAAACAAGGAACACAAGGCATGCCACTGTCACAGGTGGTACACTGGCAGAGATGCTCAAATCTAGCAATGGAGCTGGCATAGCTGGGACTGGCATGTCCACACCTGCCAAATCCACCTTTAGAATCTGGCCCTGATACCAACGATGGAACTCACAGGAGGGATATGTTTGCCACTAAACTGATTTGAAAACAAAAACCACACAACCCACAACTGACCACCAACTCCTAGTCCCACAACAGAACACAGGACTTGGCATAACACACATGACATAACTCTACGCCCAGTGACAGCACGCAACATCTGTATATAAGCTTCTGACAAAGAGGCCAAAACCTGGACAATAAGGCACACAGCGCTGGACTATGCCACTCCAGGCTAATGTCATGCATAATTAGAGCACACAAGGCAAAAGCACTGACTTGTTCCATTTAGGTCAACCATCAGACCATCTTGCACATGTTCTTGAATTAGCTGCAATGTTCTTTCGAATATTTCTCCAGCTCTTGCTTGCTCAACAGTGTAAGGATCTCTTGGGTATCGAAATAAGGCCAGCAGATCATTTGGAGAACGAGGGCGGCTAATAGATGAAAACAGGAAGAAGACATAAAAGTAAAAGGGTAAACAGAGCCATCCAGATGTGTGTGATAAAGCGGCTGTGCCCTTAACACTATGTGCTGACTGGTTACTAATATGAAGACTACGATCTATAAAAGCTCTAATTGTTATATTAAATCGTCGGCAACAAGTCGTTCATAAATACATACCTTGATTGCTTATCCCCCAAATGGCAAGCAAGAAATAAATAAATAAAGTATCAGCAGCTGACAACTTCACATGGTTTGTTGAGTAAGGACTGTCAAGCATGCTGCACAACCACAAAACGAAACAAGGAGAAAAGAACCCCTTGTTGACACATTTCACTAGATTCACTGTGGACTGGAGTATACAAAATCTAAGAAAATGTCTCCATCACATGCATTGGGCAGGACTCGGCTAATGAGCCCCATCAGCGAGAGCCTTTCATTTGTGCAATGGGGCTTTCCCTTCTCTTCCCTCCCCCAATGTGGCCCACAAAATTGGGTCTTTGGGAGGGGAGAAGTCAGGAGAATCCCCAGAACAGCTCGCTGGGGTGGAAGGAATAGTTCCAAAAGACTTGAGTGGAAAGCTATATATGTGCACAACTGGGATCCTGAAAGTATGCTTCAAAGCTTGAGAGAGTTGTTTCCAAAGATAAGCTAGCGTTGTTTCAAAAGGGGACAAGTGTACTTTGGCATGAGATCATAGGGACACAAGGAGAGCCCTGATGGGATGGAACAGTGGTCCATCTACTCCTGCATCCTGTTGCCACGGTGGCCAACCAGATGCCTATGGGAAGCCCATGAGCAAGACTTGAGGACAGTAGCACTCTCCCATCTTGGGAAGTATACTGCCTCAAACTATGGAGGTAGCGTACACCAATTGTGGTTAGCAGCCACTGATGGCTTTGTCCTTCATGAATTTGTCTCACCCTACATTAAAGGCATCCAAGTTGGTGACTGTAACTGCAGCCACTGGAGTGAGTTCTCGATGTGTGCTGCATGAAAAAGTACTTTTGTTATTTAATAATAATAGTAATAGTTTTATTATTTATACCCCACCCATCTGGCTGGGTTTCCCCAGCCACTCTGGGCGGCTTAAAGGGATAAAGGGGACCCCTGATCATTAGGTGCAAGGTACCTATTTATCTACTTGCACTTTGACGTGCTTTTGAACTGCTAGGTTGGCAGGAGCAGGGACCGAGAAATGGGAGCTCACCCTGTCACAGGGATTCGAACCGCCAACCTTCTGATTGGCAAGTCCTAGGCTCAAGCGTTAAAAACCTCCCCATACAGAGCTGCCTTCTAAAAGTTGTGTAATTCTTTATCTCCTTGACATCTGAAGGGAGAGCATTCCACAGGGAGGACACCACTACTGAGAGACGCCCTCTTCCTGGTTCCATGTAACTTCACTTCTCACAGTGAGGGAGCCAGCAGAAGACCCTTGGAGGAGGACCTCAATGTCTGGGCTGAGCGATAGGGGTGGGGACTGGGCTGAGGCTGTTTAGGGCTTTAAAGGACAGCACCAACACTTTGAATTGTGCCTGGAAACATACTGGGAGCCAGTGAAGATTCTTTTGGACCGGTGTTATATGGTCCCGGCAGCCACTTCCAGTCACCAGTCTAGCTGTTGCATACTGGATTAGTTGTAGTTTCCAAGTCACCTTCAAAGGCAGCCCCACGTAGAGCGCATTGCAGTGGAGAATAGTAGTACTTCCTCTTTTTCCTCCCTCAAATAGTTGTACAGCTTCTGTGGGGAAGATTTTGAACTGGTTGGGCTTCTACAATTACTTGGAAACTGGAAAAGCCACATGGCTCTGATTTAGGGAATCGGATACACAGCTTCTGCACTTCCAGTCTCCAAAGAGTCAGCGGGCCTTAGACTAAGTGCTCCCCATCCTCCAGTCCATACAACCAGTAGAAATATCCCAGAAGCTTAGTTATGCCTCAGTGGGAAAGCATTTTGTGCTACACCACCCACTGAGATTGCAGGCAACTGATGTGTGGATATGCCTATATAGGATTACTTGTGAAGAGAGGGGGATTTATCGTAGCTAAAAGAATTACAAGATGTAGAGTATCCAGTTGATCTTTGAGCAAAACTGCCATGTCCCCTCAAGCTACTGTTACAAAACGAACAAGTAATAAACCAGCACACTGTCATGATGAAATAAAATAAAAGTAAAACCCTCCAGACAATACCTGTCAAACAAATGTGTACGGGTTGAGTTTATTGCTCTGTCAACAGTAGCAATTGCTTCAACAATTGAGCTTGCTACAAACTGATCTCCATTTCGACTGACATCAGGAACTAGAGAGAGGGGGGAGGAAAAAAAGCTGCAAATTTATCCACATACAAAAATGACTCACTATAAGCAAAGTCTAGACACGACATCATTTTTGTATTACAAATCAATCTCTTTTTTTCTAAAAAGTTTTACAGCTGAAAATTTTCAATATATTGAGAACATCCTTAAAGAAAAAACAGATTGCATTGGGAATGCCTCCATTCTTCTACAAGTTCAATGAAAAGGTATAAATTACCATTAGTATTTGTTCTTTGTTTTGTAATACAAAGGTGTTAAAGAACCCCAAACCACAATGCCATATAAGCCAAAGACACACTTAAAATATGTGAGCCATGATAGATTCACACTGTCTAAAAGGCTCTGGGCTTTTTCTTGATCACTTGATCCCATTACCTTCTAAAACAGATAGGAGTTTCAAAGGCAGTGCATTGGAAGAAAGCAAGAAAGAAAGCAAGAAAGAAAGCAATCTCTGACTCTTTAGGTCTTCCTAAAGCAAATCCAGGGTTCTCAGCTGCAGCATGTAATCTTATCTGTATCTTAGCAACATTTCTGATCTAGAGGGGGGAAAGGCTGGGTGGTCTCTAGGAAAGATGAAAGACTCCTATTTCTTCTCCAAGCCCTGGAAAACATTTTATCTCTTCAGTATTCTCAGTCTCTTGAAATTCTGCCACAACTTCCCTGCACACCTTCCTTCTAATAGTGAATGCAAGTGATGAGTGTCAACAGAACTGTAGCCATAACAGCCACTGAGAAATAAGGAGGAGGTATCAGCAAGCTTGTGGAAACTCTGAGGTTTGCAGAAGTACAAAAAACCCCACAGCCCAACCCTTTAAAATAAACCAGGTGGAACAAACCTTGCCAAAAATAGCCCATTCCAAACTCTAGATTACCTTTTTAACAGCATCCTCTGAAACAGGAGACAATGATGTATATTCTTCTTATTAGTGAATTTGCTGGCAGACACCTTATTATCGAGCCATCCAAAGAATAATTAAATATGCAGTAGAAATTATCTTCCCTTGGTGTGCCTGACACCTGTGTTTCAAAATACCTTTCCATTTCCCTCATTCCCTGCAACCCTTCCCTTTTAAGGTAAAGGTAAAGGGACCCCTGACCATTAGGTCCAGTCGTGGGTGACTCTGGGGTTGTGGCGCTCATCTCGCTTTATTGGCCGAGGGAGCCGGCATACAGCTTCCGGGTCATGTGGCCAGCATGACTAAGCCGCTTCTGGCGATCCAGAAGTTTTTATAATTTCTACATTCTACCACCAGTTACTGCATTGCCAGTGAAGCCTCTTCTCTTCTGAAGATCCTGGTAATTTTTTTAGGGAGAGACTTCCACACCAACTGCAGTTTATAAATCTTACCATTTACACTTAGTACCATACTAACTGAAGAATATCCAATTGTATTCCTTGCAACACATTCGTAACGGCCTTCATCCGCTGGTCCAACATCACGAATGGTAAGAAATCCCTCAGGGCTAACGTGAAATTTTCCACTTTCAGTAACTTGAACACCATCCTGCAGCAAATCAGAAAGCCAATTTAATTTACTGTTTTAAGTCCACCTGCTGGTGATAATCAAACACTAACAAACTTAAATAAATTAAAAAATACATTGTATTAATAACGAGAGCTATGCATGAAGAATATAGGATGGGATTCAACTGTAAGCAGAAGTCCTGTGTGCCCCTCAAAACTGGCTCCAGAACCCCCTAGAACAGCATGCAAGGAGAGGGGAGAAGGGATTGTTCCTTTTGCAAGTTGAAATGTTTGCCTTTGGCTGAAGATGAATTCCTCCCATACTATTACCAAGTAGGAGGGCAACTTTTGAGTCTCATATATTCAGCATTTCATTTATAAATTACAGTGCTTTGTATAATTTTAAAATTTATAAGCATGGAGATTGGAGGATGGGTCATAGCCAAATCTTTTCACAGAATTGAGAAAGCATTAGAACTATTACTCCCCTCCTGCTTACTGTTCCAAAACTCTCTTCGACCATTCTTGTTCAGATTTATTTGTCTTCCTTCCCTTTGTCAAAGGCTTTGCTCCACATTGTCACTTCCTACAGTTTAATATTCCAGGCTCTCAAATGTGGAATTTCTCTTTTTTTCCAGTATTTTGCATTTAAAGCCCTTGCTGCTAATATCATGTATATAAGCTCTTTGCCTTTAGGAAGCATATTTTCCAGATTAATTGCATTGTTAAGTACCTGCAGTTTGAATAACTTTTCCAAACGCATGGTCTCAGAAAGAAGTGAAGCTAATAATTTATACCAACGCACCACAGCTGTCAGCTACCATATGCTTTGTAAAGAATGAACTACACAGGAATCTGAAAACCTATTCTAATTATAAACACGAGTTTATTACCTTATTCCATGTTATTACTGGCTCAGGCTCTCCTTGAGAACTGCATGGAATCTGCACATTTGTGCCAACTACTACTGTCATATCACTTGGAACATTACCAAACACAGGGGTTACTAAAATAAAAAAAAAAGTTGCACAGAAGCAATGAAAAGTGGGTAAAAGTCTTTAAACAGAAACATTCACATTCATCGAGGCTACAGTTGTACATCCACAAACCTGAGACTAAGCCCCACTTAACTAAAAATTGCTTAAGTCTGAATAGATATGTATAAGATTATATTACAGTAGTACCTCGGAAGTCAAACGTTATCTGCTCCAGAAGTCCATTCAACTTCCAAAATGTTCAGAAACCAAGGTGTAACTTCCGATTTGTTGCAGGAAGCTCCTGCAGCCAATTGGAACCCGCACCGGACTTCGGGTTCCAAAATAACGTTCACAAACCGGAACACCAACTTCCGGATTTGTGGCGTTCGGAAGCCAAAATGTTTGACCCGCAAGACTTCCAAGGTACGACTGTATAACAGGGCAATCCTATGAATGTCGACTAGAAATAAGTCCCTTAGAGTTCAACGAGACTTAGCTCCAGGTTTGCAGGATTGCATTATAAAGTAAGGTGGTACCTCGGTTTAAGAACAGTTCGGTTTAAGAATGATTTGGTTTACGAACTCCACAAAACCAGAAGTAGTGTCCCGGTTTTAGAACTTTACCTTAGTCTAAGAACGGAATCCGAACGGTGGAAGGGCACTGGCGGCGGGAGGCCTCATTAGGGAAAGCGCACCTCGGTTTAAGAATGGTTTCAGTTTAAGAATGGACTTCCCGGAATGGATTAAGTTCGTAAACTGAGGTACCACTGTAAAGGTTTTTACCTTGAAAACATCCCTCTCACCTAAGAACATTCCTGCCAGTAGGAGGTTACTTCACGTTAATACTCTTTAAAAATTGGGCCTGTTTTATGTACAAAATAATAATTCAGTATCATTCAACAATTATTCATGGAGGCTTCAGCAGCAATAGACAGAAAAACAGGCAGCGTTGCCCCACCCTCCTCCTGAGAGGGGTATCACTGCTGTTTAAGGGGAGCAGGCAGGAGGATGGCCAGGGCAGGACTCTGCGGGCGCACTGGCAGTGCCAATCTGCTGCTCCCCCTGGGACACCCCTACAGCCCTCATTTTCCCACTTGCCCTGCTTCTTAAATTTGAGAAACTCTCTATTCAACTAAAAATTCTGGTGATGAAAAAATTCTGTATTTCATCGCTATCCTCCCTATAAATGTGTCAAGCTTTATCTTCCTAGCTTGTCTCCAATAGAGAGATTACATCTCTCTCTCTCTCTCTCTCTCTCTCTCTGTGTGTGTGTGTGTGTGAGAGAGAGAGAGAGAGAGAGAGAGAGAGAGAGAGAAATTGAACAGTATATCAACTGTATACTTAATGGTTCTTAACATGTGTATGTTCAAAACATGGAAAATCTAGTCTGATTTCAAACCGAAAGGTGGTTTAAAACATATTAACAATCTGGATCAACATGAGTTTTTGTGAACCTACCTCTAGGCTGTACGGTCAGATGAACAGCAACTCTTTGAGATCCTACAATGTTAACAGCTTGACATTCATACTGGCCTTGATCATGTAAAGCAACTCTGGAAATCCTCAGTGTTCCAGATGATAAGACTAAGTGCCTTCTGTCTACAGAAAGTTGGCTTCCTGAAACACACAATTATTTTTTTCAAAAAAATGAAAGTATTGCACCATTGATTTGACGCTAGGTCAACAATATTTCCAAAGCATTCTTCATTCTGTCAGCAAACACTCTGTGAGGTGAGTGGGGCTGAGAGACTTCAGAGAAGTGTGACTGGCCCAAGGTCACCCAGCAGCTGCATGTGGAGGAGCAGGGAAGCGAACCCGGTTCACCAGATTACGAGACTACCGCTCTTAACCACTACACTACACTGGCTAAGAATGATACTAGAAATGATTATTGCGAAAGAATAAGTCAAAACTGTTTTCCTCTTACAATTGTCTTGTCTTAATTCCATTGCAGAAACAGTAAAACACTTTTGGGATAATGGAAGATTTTTTAAAGTGAAAATTAATATCAAAAATCATCATGTACTAATACAGCAAATGCTGTCTACTATACTTTTTACATCTTCTTCTGTGCCTGCTCTATTTTAATAAATATATACAAATTTTGAAATAATAAATTCTAGCTTTTCACCTTGATCATGAACAAATTACTTGGAAGCATATCCTAGTGAAATCAACAGAACCCAGTTCAAAGTGATCAACACAGTTCTGCAGGTTCTTTAATGCAAGTGTAAACAGTAATGTGTGTATTTGAGTTCTTCCACCTGTTTCCTCTGCAGCAGCTGCAGAGGAAAACAAGAGGAAAAATCTGTGAATGGCTGAAACTTCTGCACCTTCATATAATATATTTAGAAGAGGAATATCTTCACAATCACGTAAACATAAGTTGCTTGGACTTCAGATATAACATGTATCTGAAGGAAGTTTCAAGTCATTCTCAACTAAGAAAAAAGCTCAAATCTTGTCTCTATTTCAGATACATAAATTAGAAGTGATTAGTGCCTACAATTTAAAGCATATGTAATGGTCACATAACATGTGTCAGTAACCTGTAAGGAAAAAAGGAAGGAGATAGGGTTAAAGTTGATGGTTGTATCAAGTCAAGTTGTCCCATTCACACAAGAGCATCCATTTATGCAACTGAACCTTGAGGGGTGGGCGAGGAGAGAGATTCAGAGGTAGGAGAGAGGTGGGAAGTTCTGTTGTGCAAGGGAAACCTTCCTCGGATAAAGTCCTAAGCCTAGAAATCTTCCAAGTTAATCAAAAGGCAAGAGCAACATGTGGGACAGAGATAACTGATGGAACAGCCAAAGAATGGACACCATCTGGCCGTACCCAATAATGACAAAATTCTCCTGAGCTAGACTTCAGGGGCTCTTAAAGCCCAACTCAAATGAGAGGTGAGTTTTTGAAACTTTCAGTCACCAAGAACGACTGTTACTAGCAAAATTAGGGAAACTGAAATAGACATAATTTCTTGTAGATCACATAATGGCTTGAATTTTGCAAAAACGTATTAATTTTTTTCAAGGTGTAAAGATTTCTCCCCAAATCTAAATTCTTACCTCCTTTAGTCCAGGCAATGACTGGCTGTGGATATCCCTGGGCCTCACAAGGGAAGTCAACAGTTTGTCCCTCAATTACTATTCTGTCTTGAGGAGTCACAGTAAACTGAGGTACGGCTGTGTGATAAAGAGAAAATGGAAAAAGAGTCAGAATGTATACTTCGGACTATTCCCCCCACCCCCAATAGCTCACTGAACCACAGAACATCAGTACTTTAGATTGTAGATCTAAACACCACGTACCTTGAACAATGATGAATGCAGTCGCATGGATGCTATCGATGCTGTTGGTTGCAAAACAGGCATATTCTCCACCATCTTCCTGCTCCACGTTTTGGATGTAAAGCCCTCCTGACGGAGTTATGGTAATGCGAGGGTCACTTGGGAGAGGAGTTCTGTCCCCTTTAGTCCATGTGATCCGTGGCTGGGGGTGACCGGTTGCGCTGCATTCCAGGGTGACACTTTCTCCAACCAGTACCTCTGTATTTTGGGGGTGAATCACAAAGCTTGGCCTAGCTGTAACAAATGGAATAATGTTCAAGATACCCTCTGTTAACACCAATATTCTGGCATTTAGAGAAATGAAACGAAAGAAATGTACACTCTTTAAAAGAAGTCGCTGTATCGTATTGTTTTTCAGCGCCTTATTAAATTAAGGACACGGCTAGTCAACTTGGGTCATGTTCATTCCATATATAAAAGCTGAGAAAGGAGAAATTTCAAGCACAACATGAGTGGACAGGAAAAAGCAAACTGAATTTTCCCTTGATCACAGTACAGTGGTACCTCGGGTTATGTACCGTCCCCTTTGCGAACGCTTCGGCTTACGCGCTCCGCTAACCCGGAAGTAGGTGCTCCTTGTTGTGAACTTTGCCCCGAGATTCAAGCGGAGGTTGTGCTCCAGCGGTGCAGGACACCATTAGCAAAAGCACGCCTTATGTTACGAGTGGTTTCCGGTTACGAACGGACCTCTGGAACCAATTAAGTTTGTAACCGGAGGTACCACTGTAAAACTAGCAGTAGGCAATGTGGTGGGGCCATAGGAGCCAACTCCTAGGGGCCATGGGGGGGGAGGTTCAGCCCCCGCAATAAGTGACAAGTGAGATGCTGCTGTTTACTGAGGAGAGGGGGAACTGAGACGTGACACAGAGACTGACAAAGTGCAAATATAGCCACAGAAGCACCAGATTGATTCCACCAGCGCATTTCTACTGCCCCAACATCCCTGCCACCTTGGTCTTTCCTCCTCCTTCCCTGGGAGCAGTAGCAACACAGTCATCAGGAGGTCAGATGAGCGCCGCTTCCCTGCCATACCTTCTGTGGCTGACTAAAGCTGTTTATCTCTGACTCTTTTTTCTTCCTGCAGCAGTTGTTCCTGGCAAGTGAGTTCCACCAGGTGAAGTGCTCAGCTCCCACTCGCAACTAATGCACTTTAAATCTCACCCACCCCCTGTTATATAGGCCCTATATCATAGGGATATTATTATATTACAGTGGTACCTCGGGTTACAGACGCTTCAGGTCACAGACTCCGCTAACCCAGAAACAGCTCAGGTTAAGAACTTTGCTTCAGGATGAGAACAGAAATGGTGCGGCAGCAGCAGCGGGAGGCCCCATTAGCTAAAGTGGTACCTCAGGTTAAGAACAGTTTCAGGTTAAGAACGGACATCCGGAACGAATTAAGTTCTTAACCTGAGGTACCACTGTATAGGGAATCTGGTGTGGCCCTAAATATTTCTGATTTCAAACGACTTCTAAATTTACAAAATAAAAATAAAAGGAAGACCCTGGTCAGGCTGTTTTGTGTGTTCTAGATCTGCAACGGGTCATGCAAAATTATATTGTACTATTAAGCTTATCTCTTTGAATAAGAGGTATGCAACATAGTATTTTTTTTTAAAAAAAAATGGCATTAGAAATCTACACACCTGGTGAACCAAAGTAGCGTAGAGTAACTTCTTGAGTTTTCACTTCTCCTGCCACATTTTTGGCCATGCACTGGTAAATGCCCTGGTCAGTCTCTTGAGTGTTCTGAATCATGAGCGTGCCATCATCGAGCAAGTTCAAACGGGAATCCGTTTTCATACTGAGCTCATTACTATGGAGAGAGAAAACTGTAGGACTAAACACCTTTAATTTATAAGTATTCTAAAAAATTACCCCCAAAAACTGAACATGAATTTGTTCAGTGTGTTGTGTGTGCAGGCCCTCACAGAACTGTATAAAAGGAAAAGATTCCAAGGGTCGTCTAGTTCTGCAGGAATCACAGCTAATCTCAAATGCAAACAGTTTTTGCAAGAGATCTGATGTTGGTCAATGAACTCTTATTAAGATGAGTCTACACAGAGAAAATTATTTTCTAATAATAATAATAATAATAAATTTTATTTATACCCCACCCTCCTCAGCCAAGACCGGGCTCAGGGCAGCTAACACCCGATATAAAAACAAATAGATTGAAATACAACTTAAAAACAAGATTAAAATACATTAAAACATTAAAATACAGCCTCATTTCAATGGAAACTCAAATAAAAAACTGGGGGGGGGGGGGAGAATGAAAATGTCAAGTCTTCACCAAGCAGCCTTACTTGTTTCGAAGCCAAATAATTTCTGGTTTGGGATTGCCTTCAGCTCTGCAAGTGAAGTAAACGGTATTCCCTGAGGTAACATCCACATCCTGAGGCTCTGACGTAATTCTTGGTCTCTCTGTATAATCAACAAAGCATTTTATTTTTTTTAATGTGACTGAAAAATAAACTATGAATAGGTTAGCTCTTCCATTTTAACGTAAGGTATAAAAGATTAGTTCTCACAGATGAAATTAGGCTGTGCGAACCTAAACACTATTAAGCATAACATCAGTTATTATTTTGGGCTAATAATAAAGTTTTAATATATATTAACAAAAAAGTTTATAGTACGAAGATCAATATGCCATGCATTGCACAATTTCTTTAATGTCTCCGTCTAAGAACAGTTTTTAAAATGCAGTGTCATACGTAGTACAGCTGTCTCAAATAACTGTACCACCAAGAGTTTTCAGACTTTCAATGCAATGACAGAAAAACCGTCGAGGTAAAAAGAACCACATGAGGCATCATTTAAAACACATAACAGTAGACCTTCACAGCTTGCTGAACACAATACATAAGAGCCCTGCTGGAGCAGAACAAAGGCCTAACTCGCCCAGCGTTCTGTCCTCACAAATGCTTATGGGTAGCCGCAAACTCAGACATCAACTATGTTAAGTCAGGAGCCTGACAATACTCTTGTTTTTGCAGTCCCAAGCAGGCAGCCAGAACAAGTTGTTTATTAAGTCCAATGGGCCACATGGCTGGCTTGGTTTGGTGGTTCACAAGTCATGCAGGCCTGGCTTAAAAGTATCCTGTATCTCTTTCGAGGGTTTTAATTTCAACTCTGTCGTGTTATGTGTATCAACGCCACATGAATGTTTGGCTGCTTGCCTAGAATTTCTATCCTCACATTTACTCAGCCGTCACACGACACGTGAAAATTTCCAAGCAAGATGCCCGAATCATATTTTCATTATTATAGGATGAAGTAGTAATCCACGGACATTTAAATACCCTTCCAACAATCCTTTCTGTTTCAAGATGTGTGTTTTTTTTTAAAAAAAAGGTTTATTACATTGGGCAGTATCCAATGATGTACATAGTTCTGTTGACACAAGGACCTCTGGCTGAGCACTGGCGTTTCCACCTGACTCTCTACCCTCTGTGCATGCCCCCTCAATCTGCTCTGAGGTCTCTCCCAACCCTTTGGAAGGGAGATAAGTCAAGCTCAGGAAGACTCTGTCTCTGGCTAGGGGACAGCCAGGAGGGGAGGAAAAGCATGCTTTCAGGGGCCAGTGACTTGAAGGCATTCCATGCCTCATGAAAACAAAGACGACATTGGAAGAGCAGGGTTGGACCAAATGACCCTCAAGGTCCCTTCTAACTCTACGACAGTATGATTCTATGATTTGGGGAGGGTGTGGAGGCACAAAGGGAGAGGAGATGGAGGGGAAGTTCCATTGTCCAGACAGAAATAGCAGAAGCACTTTGTTGGAGACTGCCCATAGTTTTGTGGATTATTGTTAACAAATGCCGAGAAGGGGCTGGGATACAGAATGGTGTGCTTTCATAATGCAAAAAATAAATGAGGATGAGTCAGGAATCAATGGAGTAGAGAGATCCCAGGAAACAATTAAATCATTTATTGTTAATACAGTGGTACCTCGGGTTACATATGCTTCAGGTTACATACGCTTCAGGTTACAGACTCTGCTAACCTAGAAATAGTACCTCGGGTTAAGAACTTTGCTTCAGGATGAGAACAGAAATCGTGCTCCGGCGGCGCGGCAGCAGCAGGAGGCCCCATTAACTAAATTGGTGCTTCAGGTTAAGAACCGTTTCAGATTAAGAATGGACCTCCGGAACGAATTAAGTACTTAACCCGAGGTACCACTGTATGAAGTACACATGGGCAAGATGTACTTCTCAACAAAATTTAGATATCATCCCCACCCACCCCGGAAACAGACAGATGGAGGCAAATTACACACACACACAATCAATCCATCTTACCACAGTTAAGTTCTTCTGGTGTTATTGTGGCCACTGATCTTCCCTGGATTCTCCTTGGATATTCACAAGTAGCTGCAGCTTGCGCATTACCGGACTCTGCATATGTCTTCAGCAAATCTGCTAGCCACAGTATTTCACAGTCACAGTGAAGTGCATTTGAATCCAGACGCCTGGACAAAACAACAAACTGTACATATTAATGAGATCAAGCATGACACGTACGTACTGTGAGATGCTGTAACATTATGCAGAATGCTAGTGGGAAACCTGAAAGCCAGGAGATCCTAATTTCATTGGCACCAGTTAAAAGTGAATTGTGACCCTTCAGCTACAACCCTTGTACTGAATGAAGCGGTCTTTACTTGAAGAAAATTTGAGAGTCAGACTAAGGTTACTCTGCATCAGACTTCAGTCAGTTGCTACAACCCGAGTGCAATTAATCAAGGGGTGTGTTTAGTGAAGGATTGGGAAGGGGGGGCTAAGAGACAATTTGAAAGAATAGTATTTAAAACTATGGTGTTGCTGAGATCCACCTGGGATAAAATGGAATGTTGCAGCTGTAAGTTAAAATACTGCCACTGATTCCAAATCTCCTCTCCACCCAACTCCATTTTCCCATCAAATGACACACAGATATTATTACATGTTATTTCTCTTAAGATTAATAAACTGTGCTTTTATACTAAATTTCCTTTTTTTCTGTGTATATTGTAATGTTTTATTGTTGCTATGGCCATCGACTGATGCGAATAAAGTTTTATCTATCTATCTTAAGAATAATAAACTTAAACGGTGCAGTTTTGTGATACATGAAGAAACCACCTCCTTCTGTTGTTATATTAATAAAACACAATGTGATGAGTGACTAAAATAATAATAATAATAAAAATAGGAGCCGCCAAGATTTTTAAAAGCTGTCATTATTCAGTCTACACACTAGAAGCTCATAATTGTCAAGATAAAACATGTAAAACTAGAGGTTAATTTATTTCCTTCTCCAGATGAAGCAAGGTGAAATGAAGATACGATAGGAAGAGTTCAGGCTAATGTTTAGCAGTGACTCCTGTAAAAAAATTTACGACCCTGGTCCACAGTTTACTCAACTAATAGCAATAGCACCATTACTCACTGCACTGGAATACAGGAATTGGTTTTGGGAAAGAAACAGATGTAATGCGAGAGAGAGAGCAAGTTACTGTGACAGATCTGCAATCTTTATATTTACCAGGAATCTGTGCTAGTGGTCGTGAACGAATTGTCAATTACAACAGGTATTCTCTCTCTCTCTCTGTTTAAGATAATAGAAACCTTTCTGCATTTGTAGCACCAAAGGTCAGAAAAACAGGAAGGGGCTTGCTCAGGAGCCAAATGTGTATTATCTGCTGAACACTGAGATTCTGTACCTAGCACAAATCTAGCTTAAAATACTGGCAGGTCAGCAATGAGATAGATACTGCCTCTATCAAGAGTTACCACCTGAAAATGGCATATAAATACAAGAGCTTTAAAGAGTTAGAGTTAGTTGACAGAAGATTAAGTACAATTTTAAAGGGGGAAAGGAAATTTACTTACAGTCGTTTCATAGATTCCAAGTGACTAAATGTCCCGGGAATTAAATGGGATATTCTGTTGTTATGTAAAAATCTGTTGAAATATTGCATTTACTAATTAGCGGTTTGAATGCCTTATACCAGTCTTTCCCCAGTCTAGCATGCTTCCTATGTACTCCTTTTTTTAAAAAAAACATGTTGATGTATTTGTTGCTGCATATCATTGTATTTTTATAAGTAATGACCCAATATTCCTGTTAATGACTATAAAATACGTTCGAAAGCTGAGGGCATCTGGTAAAAATGTAAGTGATGATGCAGCTCAAGCTTATCGAAGTTTTAACTAGTAAATTGAGATTTACCCTCAAGTTAGTAATTTACCATCAAATCTGGCTGTTGCCAGATTTTAGGGGGCTTTGGGCAAGGTACTCACAAAGGGTGGTATCTAGCAAAGTAGTTCTGATAGCTAAAGGACTTCCACTTGTGCAATGGAACTTCCTCTCTTCTCCTCATGCACCCGCCTCAAAACTGGTTTGGTGGGTTGGGGAACTCGCAGAACAGATTTAGGGGGGAAAGAAATCCTTACTTCTGTGCAGCCAGAAGCCCTTACACTACATTGTCTGCACACAACGGCACTGCTTCTCAATCTCTTGCAGCCTCCGTTTCTCTCAGCCTTGTTCTTCCAGTTTGTTCCCTGGTCTCTCTGCTCCCACTTCCAGCTGTGCCCCCACCCCCGCCAGTCCCTCCCACCCTGCCAACCAGGCATGCTGCGCCCTGCCAGTTGGAAGATCAAGCCGAGAGGAAAGGGAACTGCGTAATCATACAGTGTAGTTCCTTTCTCACTTCCTCTCAGCTCCATTTTCAAAATGGTAGCCGATTGCCTAAGCAGTGGTTGCCAATATCTCAATAGAAACTGTGCTTGGAGATACTTGAGTGGATTTTAAACTGCAATTTATTTCCTTTGCAGTTAAAAATCCAAATTGCACTTGTGCCGCGAGATTAGCAGCAGGCTGGGTGGCCAGCCTAGGGTCAATCCAGGCTGGTGTGTATGTGTGAGAGAGAAAGAGAAAAAAAAAGAGATCACTTTGTCTCAAGAACAGTGGCTACAGGGACTTGAACTTCAGTTCCAATGTCCAAGCACAGCAGTGCTACTGCACAGAATTTCCTCCCAGGGAAAACTATATATACTGAGGCTACATTTTATTTAGGGCTTATCCAGATGGCAGCTTCCTTACTAGCTAATTTAGCACAGAGTAAAATGTATGCAAAAAGAGAGGTTCCAAACAGCATGAAGGCCTTGTGCTTGGAACTTGGACTGTGTACACATTAATGGCTTGAAACACAGCAAGGTGGTTCTTTTTCTCAAGCCAGATCAGTGCTGCTTTAGGTAAAAACACATCGAAATGAAGCCTTTCTTAAGAGACAACAAGAAAGATATAGATTGTGGCTAACATCACGCGTACACCGCTTCCCAAAGCAGAAGTGAGAGCACTTGGAGGTTGAGTAAATGGGGCTGTGTACACAGTCTAGGATTATAAGGAGTCGCCATGGGGACTGTCATCCTCCATGTGAGGGGAAGCTGCTATCTGGAAGAGGGAGTAAACAAAAACAAAACTTACAATCTTTCAAGTTTGGGAAGATGGGTAAATGATTCTGGTTCCAATGTTTCAATTTGATTAAAGTGCAGGTACCTGTTGGGGAAGGGGCAGGGAAATAAGACGACACAGAAACACAGTGTGCTTAATAAAGGGTCCCAAAGCAGCTGCTTTAAAAAAAAAATGTGTAAAAGTAACTTGGATCCTACAGCCATCCTGCATTAAACAGAAAGCCCAAGCCTTTATACAACAGGTGGTGCCCATGATCTACTAATGCAGTACAAATTATCAGGTAGGATCACTATATATCAATCACCAGGAGATTCAGAACATTTCAGAACAAACCTATGAATAACATTATATTAAAGGATAATGTTTGGACGTGATGTCATATTTTTGTTTATTAAGCATAGGGGACTGGATTCAACCAAGTTGTTGGGCAGCAAGTCCTGCTAACACAGCAGAACTTAACACCTTTCCCCCTCCATGCACCCTCTCCAAATCTGTTTGCTTTTGATGGCATTCCTATATATATATATATATATATATATATATATATATGAATGAGCTCTTAACTGATTCATGAACTTACTGGCCCTCAAATCAGAATGAAAGAAAAAGAAAAAAAAGATGATTGCTTTGTGATTAATGTTTCCATCCACGAAATATAACATATGCTTTATCTACGGCAGACATCTTTCTCCTGTAAACAAACTACCACTTACCTCAGCATACATTGCTTACATGAAATAGTTAAGAAATACAATTCTACATTTGTTCTCCAATGAGAAACTTTCAGCTCAAATTTAAACCTAAAAAAATAAATGCTGTTATTATGCACACATGCAGCAGACCCACTTATGATCATGTGCCACAGCAGTGCCTGGGATACACAAGTAGGGCCATTTTAACCTTCTACAAAACACTGATACAGGAAATAATTGTTTACGTCCAATATAAGCTACGGCATGCAGTTCAATTTCACATTACATGCTTCTTCATTCCTGTTTCGGTGAGCTCTAGAACAGAGTAGTACCTACATCCATTTCCATCACTGTCATTTAAATGATATTTGGTAAAAAGACTGGGATTAAGAGTAGCTTCTCTGTTTATACTAATGACCAGCGTAGGAATGTTGTCCTTACAAGTACGGAAAAGGCAGAACATTCTACTAGTCATATTCTCAACCTTCAAAGTTACACAAAAACACACCCAGAAGTAATGACAGCTGTTTGAAAACATCTGTAAGCCTTTTAAGCTATTTTGTTTATATTTTACTACTACTTTCTTTTGAAATATTGCACCCCTAAGAATTTTGCACCCATGGCAATTGCTCTCGTGACCCCCGCCCACACTACGCCACTGGACACAGCTATTGTGAGCAAATGTGTTATTCTGTGATTAATATTCTACCAGTAACGAACCAAGGATATGTTGCAATAACAGAGAACAATAAAAGTTACATCATTTTTTGTACAGTGAAGAATCATTTTGCAGAAGAACAGGCAGAATCTACAGAGCAATGCTTCCGCCACCACCCATTAAAATGTACCTCCACCTGATATATAGGACAGTGAAAGCATGCAATTTTTGAAAGCATCATCATGCACCTTAAAACCGAAAAAGTTCAAAATAAAAAAAGAAAGGTGTGTGGTTCTACTTGGAGTAACAAAATCGTACGCTGTTCTGTACTTCACAATTGGGTACAACACTATTGATATAGGTAGTTAGCATCTGGGATCCCACTGCTGTCACAACAGAAGTGCTTAGGAAATGGGAATGATGGTCTGATGTCACTTCTTAAATGAATGTCTGTGTGTAACTCTACATCATGCTTGCAACCATACATCAAACTGCTGCATCAAATTTCATCACCAAGTTACAGCAAAGCTTAAGCACCTTCTGAAAACCTTAGTGCTGCATCAACACCACAGGAGTATGGCGAATATGAAAACTGATGTGTGTGTGTTAAAGAAAAGTTAATATATTAAAATCCACCTCAGACAACAATTTTGTCAAATCGGCTTCATTTGAAATTCATGGAGAATATATCTATGGATGATGACCATCTATGATAGCTAAACTGGAACCCTTATAATCAAAAGAAGTATCCTTCTGATTTAAAGATGAATAGGCAAATGGGGAGGCTACTTCCAACACATCTTGCTGACAAGATTCCCAGAGGTTTTGGCAGGCTACATTGACCCTTGGTCTGATCCAGCAAGTCAATTTCCTTCCTTCCTTCCTTCCTTCCTTCCTTCCTTCCTTCCTGTGCATAGACTCATGCACTGACTTATATTGATTTAAGTCAATGGGATCTGAGTTGGAAGATTAAATCAATGTGATAAAGCCCATTACAGCTTGACTTTCTTACTTTAACCACCACTAAAATGTCATTTAAAAGCATATTTTATTCATTTATTTAATAGATTTCTATACCACCCCTTCAAAATACATAAAAATAAGAACAAAAATATGGCATTAGGCATTCATACAAACAAATAAATAAATAAATACACACTGACAAAATATTCAACTACCACACCCAACAATTCTTCATGAGTTATTCTGCAGAAATTCAGCTATATCTGATGGGATACTAATATAGCAGAATCATGTTGTTGTGTACTGCACAACTGAAGTTTAAAATGCTGTGGCAGGGATGGGCAACTTGTGGCTTTCTACAGATCATTGCATTGCGGCGCCCAACATCCTTGACCATTGGCCATGCTGCCTGGGACTGATGGAAGCTCATCAAACATACTGTACGTAGTTAAATCTATAACTGAATCTATCACAGCACTAAGGACTATTGCGATTTCACACACCCACAGCCAAAATGTACTCTTGTCCCGCTGAAATCCATAAGGAGTTTAGTTTTCTGTAGGTTACAGGGTGTGTTCCCCAGCCATATTTTTCTATATTTTGAGTTTTCCTCTGTTTGATGCAGGGTGGATAAAAATCAATGATTTTTTAAAAGGTTTTTTTTTATTTATTTAAACCAGTATTTCAAAAAATTTAAATTGGATTTTTAAAATAAAATGCTTCTGGAGGAAAAACCTTTCTAAAGATAGTTTTCTATTTAAGTTACATTATAGTCCAAAGGCTATTCATCAGCAAGTAAGAATTTGTTTTAAGTTTTTCAAGTGTGCTAAAACTCAGTCTGTTTTTTTAAAAACAACAACAACACGTTTAACCACATCAGTTAACAAACATGGATACATATGCTATAATGTTATTGTTTTAAATAAATTGCTTAAATTGTTGTTAAGGAAATGATTATTTTTCTCCTTCAAATAAAGTACAGCAGAAAAGTTGTCCTAATATAAACTGTTAACTTATTAAACCTCACAATAATTTCATAATTATCTATGTATTTCTAATACTATAACCAAATCAGTAATTTTTGATATAAGTGTAAAAACTACTCTGATAATTTATTACTCCAAAAATGAAACCTTCATCTGGTTGTAAATATTAAGATTATACCAGCAAGAATGAGTCTTTCTGTTAAAAAAAAAAAAAAAAGATTTAAATCAAGCCTTACTGACTAGTGATTTAAATTAAGTCTTACTGACTAGTGATTTAAATTGATTTGATTTAAATCAAATCCACCCTGGTTTGATGAGCCAAAAGCATACCAAAATTAAAAATACTTTAATTGCAAAAAGTATAGGCTGGGGAAAAATCAGAACATAAATTCTACCTGGTTACATTGAGGCAATCATAAGTTAATTCCACGAAATTCAAAACTGTAAAGTATTTGTAAGAAACAGAAGAACTGGATCCTAATACATGTTTTAATTCTTGTTGCTATACTTGAGTCTGCTCACTTTAAGTCATTATAAAGTGAACGGATAGCCTTGAGATGTAAATCACAAATACAATATGAACACAGACAGAATGAATTTGACAGACACGTTTTCTGCGTACCACTAATTGCAACCACGTTGGACTAGAAACCCATTCCGTGCAGACATGCAAGGCATGCAGGCAAGAAATGTCGACCAAAAACGTGCACTTTTTCTCTGAGGCAACCAAGCAGATGACAGCACAGAAGAGAAAAGGCACTTACAGTTGTTCTAGAGAGGCAAGTCCTTTAAATGCTTGCCTGTCAATTGACTGGATTTCATTCTTGTACAAATAGCTGAAACAAGAAACAATCAGTAATATTAGTATACACAAACGAGAGCTACATTAATGTGGGATGGAATTAAGGCGACACGTGAGGACAGTTTTCCAAATACATATTAGAAAGCAACAAAACAAGACATGTATGCACACCAAAAACACTTTTCTTTTCTTTTTAACTTGAGCATCTGCCTGCCATGGTCTCTGGAAGCCAAATAAGATTTTGCGCAGGATTTACGATGACACACCAAATAGATTTTGGTTCTTTTTGCTCTTCTGGAAATGTATCTCCACAGAATTCAATTGGCAGATCTGTGGAGCATCTTTAAAGGCATGAAATACAGAAATTGTCTTCTTCTCTATAGGACCATAGAAGTCTTGAGTGAAGCTAGAATGCATGGAATTATTGGAGAAGTATTTTTTTATTTTTACTGGACTGAGATAAACTATTATCGCAATTCTAGTTCAGTAATGTTTCTACTGATATTCAATTATCAGAAAGTGCTTCATCCCAGCCAAAGGATCATTGCTCCATTCTCACAAAAACATTAGCAGATCAAAAATTATAGCCAAATGAATATACAACCCAAATGTATGAAACGCTGGTCCATCAGACTTTAGTTAATTTAGCCCTTAAAACTCTCAAAAGCCACAAAACAAGGTAAATGTTACTGGGGAGGAATTTTATAAGATCACTAACAAATTTGCTGGTACAGAGACCTCTTATTTAATGATTAATTTTGAAAAGATTTTAAAAAGCAAAGGTCCTGCACCTTTGAGAGTTGTGTAGAAGATATTTAAGCAGGTACACCTGCTAAAACTTATTGTTCTACACAACAAATAAAGGTGTAGCAACCCGATCCTCTTTTGCATCCAACCACCCTAATTTGTAATAGACTACATCACAGGGATGTGTGCAAACCTCTTGCTAAATAGCCACAGACATAAGATGGAAACTGACAGGTTAAAAAATGTCACTCCAATCACAGAAAAGAGGACAGCATGACTGAGACTTTCCCTTCATATGTTAACTTGAGCCATTGTTCAGACACCAGAGAATGATTCTCACACCCACACAGAGAATGCATAAAACTACATAAAAGCTGCATGCCATCTTACATACCAGTACACTAAACTGTACTTTCCAGAAATGAAAGTTTTTGTTAAGCTTGTGTCTTGCTTCTTGAACACTTTCAATACACTCACAGTGTGCTTTTGAGGTGGGGCACAGCATGTGTTTTTCAATCTCCCTCTTCTCTTAGGCAGGTTATTAAAATGCTTCTGTCTTAAGATAGTTAATTAAGCATTTAACTGAAGGGGCTTTTCTCTTCAGGCAACTGGGATACAGCAGTAGCTCCTATTTAAGCCTCCATCTAAGAATGACAGCTGCCGAACCAACACCTGAGTTCTGTTCTTATGGAGTCTCCAGGCTGAGCCCTTCACAGAGCTGTCCAGGGTACCACCAAAGCCTTGTCTTGTCTCTGTACTCTTTAGGATATTGCTCAAGAGAGAACAGTTACCATGCATAAAGCCCTAGCCAGGGCTTTTCCCCCCAGCTGGAACTCACTGGAACTCAGTTCCAGCACATCTCAGGTGGGTGCCATTACCATTATAAGAGAAAAAGGGAGGCATTCATGATGATTTCTGGCACTTCTTTTTCTAGAAAAATTGCACTTTATCATTTCTACAACATACTAAATTAGCAACATACTTTATCTTACTTGTGATAAGAACAGCCCTATGAGTTGGGTCACTATCAGTTCAACAATCAAAAATATTTTAAATTTCCTGATCACAGAACTTTAAAAGTCTCATTTGCAACAGAACCTTGAGTCGTTCAGCTGTGTCCTTAGGCCTTTCAACAGCTACATGTTTCCTAGTGTTTTCAAGTTCTATCAATCAAACAAATTTTACAGGTCAGTTAGGTCATAGCAAGGAAAACAAAGCGATGGCTAGTCCTATGCAATGATCTTTGTCACTAATAACTGCTTATGGATATCTTATGGACAGTAACCCGCAGGAGAAACTACCCTCTGTTTCTAGATCTGACACTGACTGCCACAGGGCTAAGGGGGAAAATATAAACTGCCATCTTCACAGTTGCAACCTTAGCTTCATTGGATAATTGACCAGGGTCAAATAACAGGCAGTCAACTGACCGGTACGATAATCCTATTTGTACTAGTTTCTTTGTTAGTTCACAGAGGAAGCCAAACCTCTGCCAGTTCACCGTTCTTCTAATATTTAACTAGCAACATTATGGGTGCTATGAGTATATTAATACACAAATATTTCTTGTTTCACGGAACTGCTACCATTCAAGAAGAGTAATCAGGGTGTCAAAGGTACCTTGTGCCTTAGAACACAATACACAATTTATTTCCCCCATCTACTAAAACAGGGATGTCCAACAGTTAGATCGCAATATACTGGTAGACCCCCGGGAGGTTTTGGTAGATTGCGGTCGATTGCCAGGTCCCTTTCTGGTCCCACCCCTAAGAAAAGCTCAACAACTTTGCCCTGCATCCCCAGAAAGGTGGTAGATCGGTAGATCACTGGCAGTTTTTAATTCTGTGAGTAGATCGCAGTCTCTTGGGAGTTGGCCACCCCTGTACTAAAACATTGGAATGTTCTTACAACACTACGAGGAACGTACATGGTCTGTTTCTTTTGATTTATACCTCCAGTAGACAAATTACGTTATTTAACAATTTCCCACAAGTAGCTTGCAACCCACTATTTGTAAAGGAATGTAGTCCTCTCCTCAATGGGAGGTTCCCCATTCTTGCCATAAATAACCAGGAATGCAATAATTTCAGCTTGCAGATTTCAGCTATTTCATTAAATGTGACTTATTGTTGTATAAGGGGGAGGTGGGAGGTGGGTATGGTCACCCAAACTCTCATACACACCTGACTCCTATCTATCCAGTCACACTCACATAAACACACACTGCTCATCTCTCCACCCATCTGCCACCATTTATTCTTCTTCACAGACACAGATATGTACATCTATCCATTCAGTCATCCATACACAAACACAGCCTTCACTACAACCTGCATTAGAGCAAAACCTCCCATTGATTTCAATGGGAGTTCCTCCCCCACCACAATACAAATGCCAACCATCAGGAAAACGCTCTCTGGATCAAGCCCCCGACATAGAGGTAGAAGGGACTTTAAGCCTTTGCCCCTCACTGTGTTCTGGATCTGGATCAGGCCTCCCATATCTGCAGCTTGTGTGTGCACGTGTGTGTGTGTGTGTGTGTGTGTGTGTGTGTTGCAAACTGCAAGTGCCAGGGACCCAAACTGGACCAGGGCATCCCTAGGAGACATTAAGGGACTCTGTCTTTGCCCTTGTGATCCCGTGGCCCCCCAGAAACAGAAATCCGTGTTGCCAAAGAAAGTTTCCCATCAAAATAATAGATTGAGGTTGAATCCTGACAAGACTGAAGTACTGTTTTTGGGGGGACAGGGGGTGGGTGGGTGTGGGGGACTCCCTGGTCCTGAATGGGGTAACTGTGCCCCTGAAGGACCAGCTGTGCAGCCTGAGGGTCATTTTGGACTCACAGCTGTCCATGGAGGCGCAGGTTAATTCTGTGTGTCCAGGGCAGCTGTCTACCAACTCCACCTGGTACGCAGGCTGAGACCCTACCTGCCTGCGGACTGTCTTGCCAGAGTGGTGCATGCTCTAGTTATCTCTCGCCTGGACTACTGCAATGCGCTCTACGTGGGGCTACCTTTGAAGGTGACCCGGAAACTGCAATTAATTCAGAATGCGGCAGCTAGACTGGTGACTGGGAGTGGCCGCCGTGACCACATAACACAGGTCCTGAGAGATCTGAATTGGCTCCCAGTACATTTCCGAGCACAATTCAAAGTGTTGGTGCTGACTTTTAAAGCCCTAAACGGCCTCGGTCCTGTATACCTGAAGGAGCGTCTCCACCTCCATCGTTCAGCCCGGACACAGATCCAGCGCCGAGGGCCTCGGTAGTGGCGCCCGCCCTGTGGAACGCCCTCCCTTCAGAGGTGAAGGAAATAAGCAGCTATCTTCTTTTTAAAAGACATCTGAAGGCAGCCCTGTTTAGGGAAGTTTTTAATATTTAATGCTGTATTGTTTTTAACACTCGATTGGGAGCTGCCCAGAGTGGCTGGGGAAACTCAGCCAGATGGGCGGGGTATTAATAAATTATTATTATTATTATTATTATTATTATTATTATTATTATTTGGGCAATGCAAATCGCAGGTGCGGCAGGCCCAGTCTGGACTGGGACTGCAGTGCAGGGGAAAAGTTTACGCTTCTACACTCACATCGGGGTCCTGGATCTGGGGTGGGTGTCAGCAGCTGCAATTCCTCCAGAAGACTAGGAGGAAATTAGGACAAGGAGGAGAAGCCCCAGATGTGAAGCCTCCAAGGGCCGCATACAGTTTCCCAGGTGCAAGTTCCCTAGTCCTACTCTATAGCCTCATTATGAGCCCTTTCCCGCTTTGACTTCTATTCACAATGCTGGTTTATCAGTACTGCACACACTATTGAAAGAATTAGAATCTGTCAAATTCTTTCTGAAATCATAATTTGTTGGATTTTTTTGGTCATCACATTTACACCTACTGTTCTCTTCAGTGCAGATGTTAGTAATGTATTTGTGAATTATGAATATTCACAATACTATCGTGTGTATTATATTTAAGAAAATGCTTCAAGGTATCTCTCTGCTGTGCAACTGTATTAAATAAACCAAAGTGCTTTAACACATGTATAATTAAAATTAAAATTAAATTAAAATAAATAAAACTAAAATAAAATAAAATTAATAATAATAATAATAATAATAATAATAATAAATGTATACCCCGCCCATCTGCCTGGGTTTCCCCAGCCACTCTGGGCGGCTTCCAACAAAATATTAAAGCACAATAGTCTATCAAACATTAAAAGCTTCCCTAAACAGGGCTGCCTTCAGATGTCTTCTAAATAATACACAATTCTAAAAATACACAATTCAACCCAATTCTTTTCTTAAGGAATTAGGACTGCTCAACACTTGCCTGAATTTGAAAGATTCATCACCGAAAGAGAATTTTTACAGGTGCTAAGTAGTTGGTGGTCCACAGTATTAATTGTTATTAAGGATTTCATATGCGCATGTGACATTTTCATTTTGCTTATATTTTGTAATAGTTTAACAAAGATTCTATTAGCATATATCTGGGTCTCTATTTAGCATGCAAATTGTTGTGAAACTCCGATTTTTATATATGCTCTGACAATATTGTCTGTATGAAGATACACCATGGTTGATGCAGATTTCTAACCCCAAACTCACACAAAAACCCAAAACCCAAAACAAAACAACAACAACCCAAATGGAGGCTAAAGCACACACACAAAATATGGAAAGTAAGACTCCACAACTTGTCAACAATCCTCAAATGGAATTCTGTGTAACCTGGTATTTTCTCACAACTACTCACAATGGGAAGACAAATATCACCCAAGGCTGAAACATGTTGGCTAAGAAAAATACATACTGAACCATAAAGTTATCAGCTTGAATCAGGCAACACTTTACAGGACATAAAATTTAGCATTCACACTGAAAAAAATTGAAGATCCCCACGCTTCTTTGGTATTCCAGGAACACTACAATAATCTAGATTTCTTACTTATAATCATGCCACAAATGGAGACTTTGCATCTCTTACACACAACTGACTGAAATACCATAAAGCTTTAAAATGCACATGCAGATGCCAGCACAATGACATGGTATGTGATGCTGCGATAGCCACACTAACATTAAAATTAAGTACTTTCTTAACACCTGTTGGTTGGTGTGTTGTGTCTTGCGCTGTTATGGTGCACTGAAAATTCTATGTGTAAAATATATTTTTGAAGTTCATAGCAATTGTTTCTTAATACTAATAAACTGAGGTGTTTAATAGTTAGTCTTGGATGAAGTGAAATAAGTAGCACAGACACTGCTATCATTTTCATAATCCTATCAACTTTCTAAACACATTAGAGATGAAAAAATAGCATTTTTTGCTTACTGTGCAACACATACATCGTACCTACTTTCTTTATAAAAGCATTTCAACTTACAGATATTTTAGATTTTCAAGGTCTTCAAATGCTCCAGTAGGTATTCTTTTAATGTGATTGTTGTTCAGAAGTCTAGAAAATAGATGAAAATAGTTGTTTACTTTTTTTCCTCCCTCAGAGTACATTTTTCTGAGAAATTGCAACTGCACCACACAGAAACAAAATCAAAATGAGCTTAAAGTGATTTCTTACAACTGTTAGTTGAATTTCATTATCCTTTTCAAAATCTTTCTAAACTGTCTGGGTTCAACTGAGACAGCTGTTTAAATTATTGAGAAAGGAAAAGATCGTTCATCATCATGCACTGCAATAACATTCAGCAATTTGAAATAAATTTAAGAAGTTCTCCTACAAACCAGACCGAAGCAGGCAACTGACAGCTTACTCACTACTGTGTGACATTTTCATGGAATCACACGATTGGAAGAAACTTCGAAGATATTCTATTCCAATCTGCTGCCAATGCAAGGATTCACTAAACTAAAACAGCATCTCTCTTGGGTTGCAATCCAGCATTTACTTAACAGCCTCTATTAAAGGATAGCCAAGCACCTTGTGAGGTAGTGTGTTGAATGTCAAACAGCTCATACTGTCAGGGAGTTTGTCCAAATGTTTAGTTTATTTTTGTTGGTGTTGTTGAACCTAATCAAGGTATTGCCCGCTTATAGATTGTGGATTTTTTTCTTAAGGACCAGCATGATGTCCTTTGTGTGCTCTCTCTCTCTCCCTACCCCCCAGTGTGTGTTTGTGTGTTTGTGTGTGTGTGTGTGTGTGTTCAGCTTGAGAATACTGAATTTACTGTTCCAGAACACAATCTTAAAACTAGAAGATGACTGACTTTCTACCACCTGAAGGCTAGAATGGCTTTTTGTGTCCAGTCACAAGGTAACACCAACCAATTTGGCTTCTATTGAAATTTCTAACTGGGTGTATCACCTAAACTTTTTGATGGGAGTCTAGTAGTATCTGGGGGGCCACAGGTTCCCCACCCCAGCTGTAAATATTATAATAAATTGTTAAACTGTTTACAAAAGGAAAGTAGGTTTTATGAGGGATAAAACTTACAAGGTGTTCAGATTCTTAAGCCGTCTAAATGCACCAGGCTGGATTTCTTTAATCCTATTAAACCGCAGGTCCCTGTTGATGAAACAAATTAGACTCGTTAGTATAGAGATTACTATTTCAGGTCAGCATTTCAATGATCTTAAAACAAAAAACTTTGCTACCAACTTTGCTATATGTATATATTTCTCAGTCCGCCTTGCTCTAATCAAAAGAGTATTCTTCAAAGAAAATGAAGCCTGTTTTGTAAACAAATACAGTGAACACTCGGGTTGCGAATGTGATCAGTGCAGGATTCACATTTGCAACCCGCAGCGCCACTTCTGTGCACGCACTGGTTGCGATTCGGTGCTTCTGTGCATGCACAAAGTGCAATTTAGCGCTTCTGCGCATGCGCGACTGCCCGTTCTGGTACTTCCGGGTTTCAGCAGTCCGCAACCCAAAAAAATACAACCTGAAGCGGCTGTAACCCGAGGTTTGACTGCAATCAAATTTCAGTAAGAATTTAACACTCAGCCTGAATAAAACTGAAAGCCTGTTACCTTTTATGGTAACATGAACAAATGTCACTTTGCTCAGGTGGTATAAAATAATTAATTGCTCCAGTGTTGAATCACAATAAAGCCTAGCCAACACTACTGATAATTAGTTAAACACTTGATGATAATTAGTTAATCACAGCAGCTGTCAACTGAAGAATGCCTTTGTTTACTGCTACTAAAACAGCATTTCCCTCTCCAAATACCTACTGAGCTTTGGAAAGTTCAGTGTGTTGAGAAAGAGTCTTCAAGGTCTCTTGCTTTAAAATGGATGTAAATATACTCACACTTGCATAATAAATGCAAGGAGATAAAAACATTGCACATAGTTCTGTGACTAGAATAGTTCACATATGGCCCCTCGAGCAAAAAAATTAGACAATCTTAATACTTCTCGTATCTGAAAAAGTTTACATAATTCTGGTTTAAATAATCTAGAGTGAGCCGAATGAAACCTATGGAAATTCTGTCCACGTCTATCTATATGACCACTTGTCTACAATTGCAACAACACCCCACACAACATGTTGGTGCACAGTGATGCATGTTGTGAAGAGTTCAGCAACCGCAACAACCCATCATTTCACAAACTTGAATACTGAAGCATTTAGAGCAGGCATAGGCAAACTGAGCCCTCCAGATGTTTTGGGACTACAACTCCCATCATCCCTAGCTAACAGGACCAGTGGCCAGAGATGATGGGAATTGTAGGGCTGAGTTTTCCTATGCCTGATTTAGAGAGATAAAATATGTGTTGGGCATGGATGTGTGTCGGCTGCTTTACAAAATAAGGATTTCACACATAGTTGGCTGAAAGTAACTCATGTCTTGGATGGGGGAAAGAGGTCCTACGAAAGTGAGTTTCAAATAAACAAAGAAGAACACGTTCATATTGTAAAAAAACAAGACACAAAGTGATATCTATTTGATCTAATTAGTCCATCTTTCAGTTACAACCCTGAGCTTAACACCACAAAATGCAGGGGAATATGTATATCTCTCGACACTAGCAGCTGGAACGCACCAGCATACTTTCCATATAATGATATCTTCAAAATCTTGGAACTGAGTAAATCAGGGAGCTTATGTTTTCTTTGGACACTCTTTGTTCTTCCATTAAAAAAAAAACTGCCCAGAGGGCAAACTTATCTTTCAGCATATGCCAAGTTTTCAGACATGATATACAATCTCTTCTCTTTTGTTTCTGCTTTTGCCCTGTTTCTGGGGGGTCAACACGAAAATTACCCTTTACAAATTATTTCCTCAAGGACGGAGCAAATTCTAAAACATTCGTTCCACAGTTTTATGTCATATTTGGGAGAAAGGAATGAACACAGGGGTTTCCATTCAAGAACTATAATAAACAGGAAGAAAAGTTGCTTTAAAGGGAAATAAGATTTCGAACACCTAAAAATAGGGTAGATAGGAGATATAGCTGTTATCGCCACCAATTTAATGAGAAGCACCTAACATAAGACAATGGTTAATTTTCCAGGCAAATAACAAAAGATCTGCAAGCACCAGCAAGACTACATTGCTTGTGTTTACTTTATTCTTTTTAAATTCTTATTCAAGGTCACTGAAACAGGAAATAATAAAAAAGTCATCCGCACAGCAAAAATTAGCAAATGGGGAGGGGGGGAGGAATCATATAAAATATGTTATATAAACCAAGGGTGGCTAAGTGTTGCTAGTTCCATTGCAACCAGTTAGAAATAATGTTATGCCTGTGCAGTGGTACCTCTGGATGCGAACGGGATCTGTTCCGGAGCCCCGTTCTCATCCTGAAGCGAACGCAACCCACGTCTGCACGTGACGTCATTTTGAGCGTCTGCGCATGCGCGAGAGGCGAAACCCGGAAGTAACACGCTCCGTTACTTCCAGATCGCCGCAGAGCGCAACCCGAAAACACTCAACCTGAAGCTACTTCAACCCGAGGTATGACTGTAGTTATGAAGACCACCTCTCTCCCTACACACCCTCTTGGGTTGTAGTATCCTGTGAGTTTGGGAAGGCGACTCATTGCAGGAAGAAGCCTAGCACTGAGTCTGCCCTAAAACCAGGAATAAGAGGAGTCATGGGAACTTCTACAGCGGCATCTATCTGTGAACGGCAAACCCAGCACAGCTGCTAGGACTCCTTCCACAGGCAAGACTAAGACTCCATCTAGTCCCCTCTGTGCTATGGAAGGAACCACATACCCAGAAGAGTGAAGGGAGCTTCTATTACTGGCTAGGATTGTATCTTAGAGACTGATCCTGCACACTGCAAGGTGCTAAATCAGCAGAGGGGCTACTCTTAGGAGTTCCACAGCTTTCAGAAGTTGAAGGTTGGCAGCCCAGGAGACAGCATTCTCTGTGACAGCTGCTCAAGAATGCCCTCCCCATAGAAGTGCATCAGCCAATCATTGTGAACAATACAGTGGTACCTCGGGTTAAGTACTTAATTCGTTCCAGAGGTCCGTTCTTAACCTGAAGCACCGCTTTAGCTAATGGGGCCTCCTGCTGCCGCCGAAGCACGATTTCTGTTCTCATCCTGAAGCAAAGTTCTTAACCCGAGGTACTATTTCTGGGTTAGCAGAGTCTGTAACCTGAAGTGTATGTAACCTGAGGTACCACTGTACTAACAATAATAATGAGACTGGGTACAAGGCAGCCTCCTTTGTTCAATAGCTTTAGTTGTTTTTGAATTAAGATATTTACCATGAAATTGTCATAAAATATATTTCATTCCAAATGCTGAGAAGTGTTGACTACATTTCACCGTATTTCTAATACATTACAATTTTTCAACCAATGCTATGAAAGTTAGTTTTCGGTAACCTACCAAACCCTGGGCCACCTTCTCCTTTAATTCTGCAACTGCACTCACTTTTCCAATTTCCGGCACAGGTGATTGTGGTTGCTACCATTAAGCTCATCAAAAACACTCTTTGGCATTTATAGCTTACCTAATACTTACCAAGATTATTTTTGTTTCTTTTTGAAGCCTTTGTCCAGCTGATTCTTCTATAAGCACTTTGCCCATCTTTAGACAATTCCACCAGATAAGCGCAACACAAATTATATGCACGGCCCATTCCCAATAAATAAATGCATTAACTTTGTGGATTCTACTTTGTTTCTATAGCATTGTATAAAGAATGTTATATGGAAGCACTTTTAAATTTAAACGCGATGGAAATTCATCTTCTGCTAGAATATTAGTTTCCATTTTTGGACAGACATATCATGCCCTATTTCTCTATTCTATTAATGCTTAAAATGGGTCTCCTCTGCTCTGGGTTATTTCCAGTACTGTATTTTTGCAACAGGTTTTTTTGGCACCCCTTTTACTAAATAGCTTTCCTGTTAGCAGAACGATGTCTTATTGAATTATTTTCTCTCAAATAATTATCTTTATTCATACATCAATTGCATGGAGGAGCTTTACCCAGTGACTGAGGAGCGGGGCTTAGCCCCCATATGTCCATCTGTTGGCATGGATTTCTGCCTGTGCAGAGGAAGCCTATATCTGAGCAGATGCAGGGAGAAAGGAAATGCAGAGGAGTCCTAGGAGTACTCATAAGAGAGCTGTTCCTGGAGGAAGAACTGCGAGGGGAGAGACTCCATCAGGCAAGGCTTCCTTCCACTTGCCTTGTCCCACCCTCTAGTCTCTGCTTCTCAATGTGTATTGTATTATTTTATGTACTGTGGCTTGCCATTGTTTTATTGATTATAGTTTAGAAATTATTTATTGTAACTGTTGAGTGGATTTCTGTTTAACTTTTATATGTTGATATTATTAATATTTTATACTATCCTAATGATTGTTGAAGGGACGCGGGTGGCGCTGTGGGTTAAACCACAGAGCCTAGGACTTGCCAATTAGAACGTTGGGGGTTCGAATCCCCGCGATGGAGTGAGCTCCCATTGCTCGGTACCTGCTCCTGCCAACCTAGCAGTTCGAAAGCACGTCAAAGTGCAAGTAGATAAATAGGTACCGCTCCAGCGGGAAGGAAAACGGCGTTTCCGTGTGCTGCTCTGGTTCGCCACAAGCGGCTTAGTTCTGCTGGCCACATGACCCGGAAGCTGTACGCCAGCTCCCTTGGCCAATAAAGCAAGATGAGCGCCGCAACCCCAGAATCGGCCACGACTGGACCTAATGATTGTTGAATGTTACTTTTGTGATGTAGGTTGCAAACAGTTGGACCTGGTGAGCATTTAAGGTCCCCAACCCTAATCTGCGGGTTTCCATCTGATTGGATTTTATTCTGATCCTGATCTGATTTGAGGATGTATTTTAATTGATTGTCTGATTTTATGTTAATGTGTTATACATTTGATGTTAGCCGCTCTGAGCCCGGCTTCGGCTGGGGAGGGCGGGATATTATTATTATTATTAATTATTATTATTATTATCATTATTATATTTTAAAGTTATGTTTCATGTTGTTTTTATGATGTTAGCCGCTCTGAGCCCGGCCTCGGCCGAAGAGGGCAGGCAGGATACAAATAAAAAATTATTTATTTATTTATTTTGTTGTTGTTGTTATAGGTGCCCAGTGGGCAGGGCTAGTGGCATACGTGATGCTAAGGGCGGGAACAGCAGTAAGGGGCCCCTTCAAGTGACTGCTTTTCAGCTTTCCTTGTAGTTCCTCATACAGTCGTACCTTGAATCCCAAACGCCTTGTTACTCGGATGTTTTGGCTCCTGAACACCGCAAACCTGGAAGTGAGTGTTCTGGTTTGTGGACGTTCTTTGGAACCCGAACGTCTAACAGGGCTTCCGATTGGCTACAGGACCTTCGGCTTCCAAACGTTTTGGAAGTCGAACGGGCTCCCAGAACCGATTCCGTTCGACCTCCAAGGTATAACTGCATTTGGTTGGAACAGCGAAGAAATGCATTTACTGTACAGTGGTTACACAGCCACATCATTTGTCATAATCCCCCAAAGTCTTGTATAGTACAGTGGTACCTTGGGTTAAGAACTTAATTCATTCCGGAGGTCCGTTCTTAACCTGAAACTGTTCTTAACCTGAAGTACCACTTTAGCTAAGGGATGCGGGTGGCGCTGTGGGTTAAACCACAGAGCCTAGGACTTGCTGATCAGAAGGTCGGCGGTTCGAATCCCCACGACGGGGTGAGCTCCTGTTCCTCAGTCCCTGCTCCTGTCAACTTAGCAGTTTGAAAGCACCTCAAAGTGTAAGTAGATAAATAGGCACCGCTCCGGCAGGAAGGTAAATGGCGTTTCCGTGTGCTGCTCTGGTTCACCAGAAGCAGCTTAGTCATGCTGGCCACATGACCCGGAAGCTGTACGCCGGCTCCCTTGGCCAATAAAGTGAGATGAGCGCCGCAACCCCAGAGTCGGCCACGACTGGACCTAATGGTCAGGGGTCCCTTTACCTTATCACTTTAGCTAATGGGGCCTCCCGCTGCTGCGCGATTTCTGTTCTCATCCTGAAGCAAAGTTCTTAACCAGAGGTATTATTTCTGGGTCTGTAACCTGAAGCGGAGGTACCACTGTATGTTGCTGGCACAACAGTTCTGCAATGGGGAGTTTCAGTCTGAACTGTTCATGGTATTGATTTGTTATGGCTTTTATCTTGCTGGGTTTTCTTTTTTGGGGAGAAAAATCTGTTTCGTTTCCTCCTTTCGCTTGTCAAAAGAAAAACTAGTGAACAGATTTGTTAGCTAGGTGATTCTGTATCAACTTAGTAGCCCTGCTCAGATACAACTCCAACAAGAAACCCAGGAGAGTGGGAAGAATTTGCAGTCTGTGTCAGTACAGTTTTTCACCCCCTCCCTGTTATGAAAACAGGACACAGGTGCGAACAAATAAATACAAGCTTTATAAAATTGAAACAACATGAGTTTGGTGTATAGGAGAATAACTCCTGCCAATATTCTAAGCACCCGTAAAACTCTATGTTTATATGTGCCAAGAGAATGGATTTTGGACCTATTCTAGATCCTCCTCTGCCTACAACTATGCAGCTTTGGCCCTTTCCCCAGCTCTTCAAACTCACATTGGGAGATTTTGCGCCTTGTATTTTTGGCAGCAGTCTGAACAGGCCCCAATGAAGACTTTTTCAGTTTATCTTCATCCTCAACTGCTTCCCTACTTTTCTTATAAACAACAGGGACCCTACCTTATGGCAAGGACAGAAAATGCTGTTTAGCATTAAGAGGAGCATACGCTATACTGTCATACCTCGGGTTACGAACGCTGAGGGTTGCGTATTTTCGAGTCGAGGACTGCACCGAACCCAGAAGTACCGGAACGGGTTACTTTTGGGTTTCGGCGCTCGTGCATGCGAAAAAACACAAAATGATGTCACACACATAAGCGCTGAATTGCGGCAGCTTGCGAATGTGCCTCCCGCACGGATCACGTTTGCAACCCGAGGTATGACTGTATAAACAAGAGGGCAGCCATGTTCGCTTTCAAAAGTTCATAGGCTTTGTTTTATATTAAAAACAACCACCATCACAGCTTGTATGTTGAAGTAAATAAAATATCAATAAAACACAATAAAACAAAACAAAAGCAACTCCTATGAACACCAGAAAAACAACAATGCCAGACTAAAGCTAAGAGATAGCAAAAGACTGAAAATATTACACAGACAGCACCAGAGCAGCTTTCCAGCATGTGTCAAAGTGGGGTGCTATAACTGAAAAGGCCCTACACTGGGTCTCTGGTCACTTTAGAACAGGGTTGTGGGTTAGAGCCTCACACTGGGCAAAAGATTCCTGAATTGCAAGGGTATGGACTAGATGACCCTTGTGATCCCGTCCAACTCTACGATTCTATCTCACTCAGAATGTAGCAGGAGGGCTCGTAAAAGCTGAGAGCGCTGTGTGGTTTCCCTGGTTGTAGCTTTATCCATACGATTTGGCGATATGAAAAGAGGTGAACCATTGAGCTGGTTTGCATGTAAAGTTAAACCAAACTATGGCTTAGTGCAAACATGTGGGTTCTCAAAGAGGAGACTGTGGCCATGTTGTTGCTCCTCCAGTCCTCCTGCTGAAAGCCAGGATCAAGCTTTGCTTTCCCAGAACTGCCTCCATCAGCATTCTTTCCACGTGGCTACTGGGGCCCTGGGAAAGTATCTGTTAGTGCATGTGCACCAGTGGGCGTGCAAATAATTTTATCCATGTAACAGTTTTTTGCAGGAAGCCTCAGTTATGACTGCTCTTTGTGCATGTACACAAACAGTAAAAAGAAGCAAAGAGCAGCCACCACCCGGCAAGATTTCCTTTAGTTTATCATAACGAATATGCAAAATGAAACTGAGCGTCTTCCAAAGACAAGTGATGAACCACAAAAGACAACAAAACGAACAAACATCTAACCTATAGTCGAAGTAAGAAAATGAAGGAAGGAGGATTTTTAAGCAACCAGGATAACCATATGCTACCCACCCACATTCTGTAGTATGTGGTCAGCTCTAATCACCAACATCTGACACAGAAGTCCAGCCACAGCTGTGTTTTCCTGAAGTAGAGCCCTGCAGCAACGAACTGAGGGCTTATTCTAGAGCAGCATATTGTTTCCCACAATGGCCAGCCAGCTGATTCTGGGATGCCTCAGGCAGTGAGAATGATGGCAATAAACCTATTGCTTATCCCCCAGAAATTGACATTCAAAGAGGTTTTTTAGCAATGACCACCTCATCTAAGCCAGCAGCCACCTCTGCATCTCGAGGCCCTGAATTCCATGCTAAGTATGCCTTGCCTGAAGAAGGACTTTTTGCCAACTAATTTTCACTGGCTGTCCTCTAATCCTAATGTAATGAGAACAAGGAACGTCGGGGAATCTAGCTACTTTCTCTCCAATATTTTATAGACCTGCATTGTCTTCTCTCTCCATATCATTTAAAAATAATGATTTTTTTTTAAGCTCTAAAGGTTTGATATTTGGCTCATATGGAAGGTGCAACACCCCTTTGACTATTTTAGCTCTCTTTTTCCTACACCTTTTATGGCTGATCACCTATTAACGTAGGGTGACCCTATACAGTGTATAGTATACATCAGGGTTCCCCAAACTTCAGTCTCCAGTTGTTTTGGGACTACAAGTCCCATCATCCCTGACCACAGGTCCTGCTAACTGGGGATGATGGGAGCTATAGTCCAAAAACAGCTGGAGACCCAAGTTTGGGAAATCCTGATAGACGTAATCAGGGATAGCCAACAGGAACCTCCAGATGTTGTTGGACGATGATACGAGTTGTGGTCCAAGAGCATCTGAAGAGGGTCACATTGACAACCCCTTGCTATACACAATATCCCATATGCAATATCCCATATGCAGGGCTAAGAGACTGAGTGATAAATCGGTAAGTCCCTGGTTTGAATCCCACCTCTGCCATGAACCCAATTGGTCTTAGGCAATCCCTCCTAAGCCTCAGTCCTCCCATCTGGAATTTAGGAAATAATAATACTGACTTGCCTTACAGACTTGTTGTAAGGGTTGCAAAACGATTGTTGTTGTTGTTTATTCCCAAGCATGGACTTTTCTGTTGCTGCTACATGAGGTGTTATTTTTTCATTGAACACTCCACAAGGACTCCAAAATCATTTCATTGGATCAGTGTACAGTGGTACCTCAGGTTACATACGCTTCAGGTTACAGACTCCACTAACCCAGAAATATTACCTCGGGTTAAGAACTTTGCTTCAGGATGAGAACAGAAATCGTGCGGCGGCGGTGCAGCAGCAGCAGGAGGCCCCATTAGCTAAAATGGTGCTTCAGGTTAAGAACAGACCTCCAGAACGAATTACCGAATTTTTCGCTCTATAAGACGCACCAGACCATAAGACGCACCCAGTTTTTGGAGGAGGATTAACAAGAAAAAATATATTCTGAATCCCAGAAGCCAGAACAGCAAGAGGGATCGCTGCGCAGCGAAAGCAAGGATCCCTCTTACTGTTCTGGCTTCTGGGATAGCTGCGCAGCCTGCATTTGCTCCATTAGACGCACACACATTTCCTCTTACTTTTTAGGAGGGAAAAAGTGAGTCTTATAGAGCAAAAAATACGGTAAGTTCTTAACCCAAGGTACCACTGTATATGTGTAGTTGATTATTTGCGGGTAGGGGGTAGGCAGGGGTCCCAATGCAAATCACTTGAAAGAATGGACAGGAACCAATTAGTCCCTTTGTAGAACAATTATTTAATTCATTTAATTAGACAATAAAGTCACCGATCTAGTTCCTGTTTGAACAGATGCTCTTGATGAGCCCTAAACAAATTAAAACAATTCCTCCACTCGGCAGCAGAACACACACAACGAGGGGATGTATTTACTTTACAAATGCAGACTGAATATTACAGGGGATCTTAATAGCATTTCCCCCCGTTAGTGAAGCAATTATCATTGCCTAGTCTCTTATGTCACCCTGACACCATCCTCCTATTCTTTGTTCTCCTTGTCAGTCTGATCTCAGGCAAAACTATATACTCTGTTCTAGGAAGTGCATATGACTAAAATGATATCGTCAGGATGTGCTAATTAATACATTTCTTTTATCTGTTTGACATAAATTTGGCACATGGGTTGGAATAGAATTTTAATTGGGAATTTTCATATTGCTAACATCGACTATACACCTGCTATTAATCCAAAAGCTAACTATATGGCAGCACAGAAATGAGGGTCAGAGGAAGTTTAGACGGTGGTATGACTGGTGCCTTTAAAATGTCATGAGGAGTGAAGCAAGGCTGCATTCTGACTCCCACTCTTTTAAACTTTTATATTAATGATCTGCTGTCATATTTAGCCAACGCGTACTTCCCCTCTCCAATAATTAGGAACAGAAAGATCTCAATCTAGATGTATGCAGATGATTTAGTGCTCCTCCCTTTCCTGATTGGGCCTCAAAAATCTCCTGGAGGTGTTCAGTACATACTGTAAACAGGAAAGCCTATCTATAAATTACTCTAAGACCAAGATAATGGTTTTTGGCAAACACAGTCCTAGATATAAATGGTACAGCAAGCTACAAAAAAACCCACACAAAAATAAAAAAAAACCCCAAACTCGCTCATTTAGATACCTGGGCACACTCTGGGTGAAACTCTCTCTTGGAAGTACAGAGGTACCTGGGGTTACATATGCTTCAGGTTACATACGCTTCAGGTTACATACTCCGCTAACCCAGAAATAGTACATTGGGTTAAGAACTTTGCTTCAGGATGAGAACAGAAATCGTGCTCCAGTGGCGCGATGGTGGCAGAAGGCCCCATTAGCTAAAGCAGTGCTTCAAGTTAAGAACAGTTTCAGGTTAAGAACGGACCTCCGGAACGAATTAAGTACTTAACCCGAGGTACCACTGTAATCATATGGAGCCAGTGAAAATCAAAGCACAGAAAACCATAGGGACATTGATGAAGTTCTATTAAAATAAGGGAGGTCAACCTTTTGAATCTGCCCTAAATATATTTGGTAGCAAAGTGCTTACTCTAATGCTTTATATGGCATTGAGATCTGGGGTCTGATTAAAGCTTTGGAAACTGTGCAGAATAACTTTTTTGGAAGCTATACTCTTACCATCAGGAATATCAGCAACTCATCTTCATACAGAATCTGGGTGGCCAACAATTAAGGCAAGAGCAGACTGCACTCAGTTAAAAAAATATTAAAATAATGGCTACTATGTCAATTGGGCATTTTACTGTGCTGTGCTATACTTAAGTGGGTGATAACCAACTCTGAAAAGCAGCTTGTCAAGATTTTTAGACTATTATTTTTCCAGAACTGAGCTCTGCATTGACCTTGAATAAGTGCCAACTAAGGGATTGGCTCTTCTGGGCAGAATACAGAAAGGATCTGCAATTAATTAGAAACAACAAATTTTCCCCTTGGTATCCTTTCCTGAGAACAGAGCATTTTAGCGCTAGTTATCCAACCAAACTCTCACCAGCTTCCTTAAGAAATGTCTTTATTCCGATGTGTTTCTAAGTGATGCCCACTGAAGCCTTGGATGGCTGCCAAAACAAGGTCCCATATGCAGACAGACTTTTTATTTGCGGCCAGCCTCAGGTGAAAGACATCACTCATTACCCGTTAGCCTGCCCCTTAGATAGAGACCCAAGAGATCGCTTTCTGAAACCTTGGTTCACACAAGCAAGCAGGTACAACCCAACATAAATGGTTTGGCTTCTTTTGAGAGACAACAGCAGCTTCGTAACACAGGGAATGCCACTCTACACACTGGCTGCAAAATAAAATAAAATAACCAAGAAAAAAGAGTTTAATAAAAATCACTCTAAGTTGTTGCGGTGATTCAAAGGTTCAATCTAAAACCAAGCTAGATTTAAGCTTGTTGGTGTCTCTGGTATCGTCTCTCTTTACTTATAAGCCAATGTTGGCTTATATAACGGATGTGTGTTCTGTATTATTTTAGTAATACTATTGCTACAAGTTTGTCATAGCCTTTAGCTAGAGCAATAAACGTATTAACTAGATTTTTTAAAATGTGCATTTAGACAGTGTTTTAAACGGTAACTTTCCTCCATATATATATAAAAAAATCTAAGACTATGATTGTGACAATTTACTGGCATAAAGCGATCTAAATTTCAATCACACAACATACATTGGATGTGTGTGTTTTGTACTGTAGCAAGCAGTCCAAACCCACACAAAATGGGTGCACCTCTTGTGGATCATTACTTTCTCAATCTGTCCACAGTGTTTAGCTATAGAAAGAGCCAGATGGAAAACTTGACTGCTGCAAATTCCACAGCTGTTTCTGTCATTTCCAGGGCTACTTTGTTAAGTCTCATATATGTTTGTTAACAGCTTGAGGCTATTAAATTCATTGGGCCTGAGTGCATTCTTATGATTAGCATTTGCAACTCAGATAATATCACCAGTGTCCTGGCAACAATTAAGAATGACAAAAACAGAATCACATAAACATCCAGCCTTCTGAATCCAAGGAAGGGGGGGGGGGGGAAGGAACCTACACTTAAAAATGGAAACAAAAAAACTCCTGCCATTCTTGTATAACAAGAACACACTTGATATATCAGGATGATGCAGCTGTGTAACCAGACACAATCTTTTCTCTTGTTTTCATATTTGTTTTTTAAGAAAGATAAACTACAGTTTCTGGATGTCAGTGGAAAGAAAGGCGCTTGCAAGAACTTCTGGAGTGCAGCCCAGTGGGTGAAGTATAGTAGCTGAATAGAAGCTGTGTGACTCATAGACCAGGAGGGTCGGCTTTTTGCAACTGATTGATTTCAACAAAGTGAAGGATACAATAAAAGTGATATTGTTCACAGGGAGGCTGAGTGAATGAGGCTTGCTGCCTGAACAAGATGGATTAGAGGTGGTGGCAGGGCCTCAGCACCCAAAAGGGCAAAGGAATTGCATTTTAAATGGATTAAAAGATTTTCTTCATCTGTGCACCAGAAGCCTGAAATTCAGAATTAGCCATCAATGAAGTGTTTTAACGATCATCCACTATCGTTCACTATCTCCATGAAAAGCCTGCGGATCCACATGCCAGTTTTTACGACCACCAAGTTACATGACTCAGCAGTCATTACAAAAAGAAGACCCAGCAGGAATTGGGATTGTGGGTTGCAATAAGTACAGCAAGTCTCAAAAGTCTACCATATGTTTTTTGAGCACTCAGCACTGTTAAGACACGTTATCTTCATGTGGACTTAGTGTGAATCACCGTACGACTTTGTCCATCTAGACAGAGTTTATTTTATGCTACAAAATCCAGTTTGGGGGAAAGGGCATTTTTCCTATGTTTGTGCTGCAGTTCATCTAAGAGCTGAAGAAGTAAACTTTAAAAACTAAGCAGTGGCTTGTTTCTGACAGAATGAGTTATCAAAGCAAAAATGTCACAGAAGGTTACTGTAATATGTGGGATTGCTGCCTACCGACCAAAATAGCTACTCTGGATTGAAGCCAATCAGTAATTCTTGAATATAAGCCTGATTCAGATGGCTTCTCACCTGTGATTATGAGCAAATTGTATCATTCAGCACAATAAAGATCGCTTACATTGTTGGAATTTGTACAACAGGTGTACGTCACACGTGCTAAGTGACAAAGCCTGACATCCTCTCAAACTAAAGGATTGTTATTAGAAGCCAAATTATTCACAGAACAAGTGCTATTTTATTTTCCCTTTAATAAGCAAAAGCTGAAATGACTTGCTGTGTGTAGATAAATATATTTGAAAGCAACAGTGCAATGCAAGTGTGACAACAGCATATCCCTTTTCCAAAATGAATTGGGAAATGCAATTCACTACCATTTGGGACAGCCACCTTCTTCTCACGCTTTTAACTCAGCTGACCAACTCACTTTCCAACCAAAAAGGTAAATTTATAACACCTGATGTCTTGAATCAAGAATCTAGACACTCAGAACAATCTAGCTGTCAAACCTGCAACTAAAATATGAGGACATCCCTATGGACCATTCCCAGCTCAAAGCAAAAGTATCTAGCTCTTGTCTGAGCAGCATTTGAAACTAGCATGCCTACATATTTCTGAGGAAAGAGATAACAAGGGAAAGTTCTGGTGAGGACTCAAAAGACTCTTTTGGTATGTTTAAGTTGATCTAAGATAGGGCCTTTCAATCAAGGATGTGCCATTGTAGTTTGACCTGCTGTTATGACACTGAACTGTTATTTAGGAATGATATAACCATAAAACAGTAGTCAAAAAGTGTTCTGACATCTTTTTTATTACTACTTTTGGCAGATGCTGCTGAACAGGAAACCCCTGTGAGTAGCCTGATCTTTAAATTCTCTTCCTGCAAAGCCATTTGGTGATGAAAACCAAAAAAGGCCATTATATTTTAAGTATATCTGTTTTTGCTTGATGTTTTTATAAAAGTTGGAATTCTAGACATTTTCACTTCCATGCATAAGAGTTCTTACAATTCTCAGTGAAATCAAATTTTGAGCAGTAAAGTAAGAAGTAGAATGATTAAAGCCCCTTAAAGCCTGTGGATATGTAGAATGAAAGTTTTTGATTGTATTCTATTGGAAACAGTGCAGTCTCACTCAGAAAAAGATGAAACATAAAGAGCTATGTAAAATAGATACCTGAACATATACACTTTTTATATTAATTCCTTTTCATGCACATAACAAAAATGAAACAATATTGGTAAAGAAGCCCTTTGGTTTCTTCAGAATTTCCATTTACATGTGCATTTATTTGCACCATTGTCCCAGAGACTGAGTAACAATAAACTCTAAAGCAACACTAAAACATAGCGAGTGAATAAGCAGAAAGATTTGTGAACACCAAAAGCCATCCAAAGGAAAAGCTCTTTTACACAGATGTTCTTGGAACTTTAGCAGGACTCCAGTAGGAATTCAATAACTAACAAATCCAACAAAAGCTCTCACCATGTGGGTAGGCTTTGTCATTTGCATTTCTACATATGGTACTGGAAACAGTAGGTTTGCAGTAAAGGAGAATCAAAAGTGTAATGGCAAATGTACCGTATTCAAAAGAGCGAAAGGTAGGATCAGTTTCCAAAATCAACATGGCGAGTCGAATTGAAGAGGAAAGCTCTCAACCTCCTTGTTTAGAAATACTGTGGCTGTTCCTTCCCTTAATTGCTTAATGTGTCCTAGATTAGCTTTTCTGAATCTTTAACAAGACAATCCTCAAAATAATATCAACTCAAAAACAGGTCCAACTGAGATCAATGAGTCTTACTATCAGGGGTACTGGGGTATAGGATTGAAATCCTAATCTTTTTAACACGGCAATATTACGTATATTTCAGCATAATATTTGTAAACAGTGATCCCCAACAAAAACCAGAAATCTACGGCAATTTTTAAGTCTCAGTTCAGAAGTAAACCCATCTGTATCCTCTTCACACCATGCCAAGGGATTAGAAAGCCATTCAGTAGTGTATATGAGAAATGTTTTCGGAGATTATAAATAAGAAAGACGAGAGGAAGATGGCAGCAGATGTGTCACCGCAGCTGCCAGGGCGCAATGAAAGGAAAGCTTGCAGACCCTAACATTTCTCCGGTTTCCAAGTCATTAGCTGTTGGGTCTTAAATGTTCATTCAATTTTCTTTTCAAAGGAATCAGCTGGCTCTTAGCAACAGTAATAGCCCCAGAGCAACAAGCCTCCAAACCTGGCAACCAATGAGAAGAAGACCTCCCTTCCCCCCCAACATTTGAGAAAGTCCATTTCAGCTGAGCCAGCATTCACTCCGCAGTTGCTCTGTACTGCTTTGAAATTTATTCCCATAGCTAAATGTAGCAGAACAAGTCGATTATCCCCACCTTCTCTTGAAACAATGGCAAAGGGACCTTGTTTACTTGACATAACATTCTACTGCAGTGTTGCTGTTGTTGTTTTAAAGCCACCAGGCACAACCAGAGTTTTAACCAAGGCAATGCATTTTTGCCAAGCACAGTGGTGCATCTTATCTGTTTCGGCCAACAGACGTTGCAGACTGACCTGGAAAGGCTCACATACTTTTTCACTTTACCTCTGACACTGAACTGCCTGGGAAAGAAGGCATGAATACTGTTATGACGAGCAAGGAAGGAATGCAATGGTGCCGACTTTGAATAAATAATAATAATAATAATAATAATAATAATACAGTGGTACGGTAAAGGTAAAGGGACCCCTGACCATTAGGTCCAGTCGTGACTGACTCTGGGGTCGCAGCGCTCATCTCGCTTTATTGGCCGAGGGAGCCGGCGTACAGCTTCTGGGTCATGTGGCCAGCATGACTAAGCCCCTTCTGGCGAACCAGAGCAGCACACGGAAACGGCGTTTACCTTCCCACCGGAGTGGTACCTATTTATCTACTTGCACTCTGACGTGCTTTCAAACTGCTAGGTTGGCAGGAGCAGGGACCGAGCAACGGGAGCTCACCCCGTCATGGGGATTCGAACCGCCGACCTTCTGATCAGCAAGTCCTAGGCTCTGTGGTTTAACCCACAGCGCCATCTGCGTACCTGGGGTTAAGAACTTAATTCGTTCTGGAGGTCTGTTCTTAACCTGAAACTGTTCTTAACCTAAAGCACCGCTTTAGCTAATGGGGCCTCCCACTGCCGCTGCGCCGTTGGAGCACGATTTCTGTTCTCATCCTGAAGCAAAGTTCTTAACCCGAGGTAATATTTCTGGGTTAGCAGAGTCTGTAACCTGAAGCGTATGTAACCTGAACCATATGTAACCCGAGGTACCACTGTAATAATAATAATAATAGCTCACAGTTCAGCCATATGCAAACCAATGGAGTAGACTGGAAAAACTGGAGCTTCGGCACACATTTAGCCCAGTTTCCCCACGCAATCAGAACTGCATAAGGTAGAACACGGATGTGCTGGCTTGTCCTACCCCATTCCACTGCATCCTGAGCACCAAGCCAAACCCCGCACCCCCATACAGCGTTCAAAAATTTGCCAGGCACATTTTGCGGCCAGATATTGGCCACTTGCGACCAAGTGAAGATGCCCGAGTGCCAGGATGGAGCTGCATGCCTGGGGTTTCTTGGATCTTGACTGTTTTCACACACTAGCAACACATCCTGTAGAATTCTATCTGTTATATTTTATCTGCACAATCAGAATGCATTTCAGGAAGCAAAAATAATTCTTTTTTTTAAAGCTACCTGGCAACTTGGCATTCTGTTTTGGCACCTGTAACCCTGGTTTAAGGAGCAACTTGGCCCCTAGCTTATACAGTTTCCAACACTGTCTCCGTGCATCGGGAGGACAAAATGTCTGCAGCAGGGAGCTTGCTGTGCTCCTCAAGGCTACCTGTGCAAGGCAGAATCCTGGCTGTGCAAAATTCTAAATCGCAGGATAGGAAGAGGTCCCATTGAGCATAGCAGGCTCTTTGCTACAGACCTTTGTTCACGTAGCACATGAAGGGTGACTTGAGACGCGCTGCAGATGGAAGACAGGGTGTTCATGCTGTCCACTCACCACATGAAATGAAAAGTATCTCTACAGGGCTACTCTGTGTGGGGTTTCACATTCCTCTTGCTTCTGGGAGGAGTAAAATGCAATTCAACATTTCTGAACAGTTTATTTCAGATAAGAAGCATTGCTGTTTTGCATGGGTGATGCATGGCAGACACAAAACAGAAATAACTGGGAATCTTGAAAGCACTCCTTTTGGGTTCATCATCCCAATCATAAAGTCTGATTGCAACATTTTATATTGGGTTTGAAAATGGTGAGACACAGTGAGAGAGTTAAGTTAGCCCTTCTACCACAGAAATTTGTTGTTTTCATAATTTGATCCCACCTTTCTTTTGGAAAATGAGACTCAGGATGGCTGTGTGTGTGTGTGTGTGTGCACGCGCGTGTGCATCACCAGCACCAGAAACCTGGTATAACACCACACATAATTCACATAATTTTAAAAACCTGCATAAAGCACACACACAAAAATGTCTTTTAAAATACCATTTTGTTCTACCTTTTTATTATGCTCTTGATATTTTATGGACTGCTAGCCACTCTAGCCATTCTCTTTTAGAAAGAGAAGTGGGATCAAAACTGGAAAAAAAAATTACTTCCCTCTGTGAATGCTAACATACTATTTGACAGCACAAGTTAACTTTGTATATTGCGCATATCTCTAGGAATGACTGTCCAATGACTGTTCTAGAGGTGTGTGTCTGCTTTTTTTTTGCAGTGGCAACACAGGTTTCTATTTACCACAGAAGACAACACATTTTTGAAGGGAAAGTAAGCAAGGCAGCAAGGAATACATTCTGCCTCAAATAGGACCAGCCCTGCATAAAAGGGGTCAGAATACATAGCAGACCTTATTGATCCAAGCAGAGTGCTCCAATTGAGAACTGAAAAGGAAGCATCCTGTATCAGAATTGTTAATCAGAAACTGGAATCTTTGATGGGGGAGTTGGGGGGGGGGAATGGGATCATGAACACAACCTCCACATGTTGGTCACAAGCGCTAAGCTACTATGCACATACAATGTTACATAGGTAGATAGGAACACATCTGTATTCTGCACATCTGCAGCGATGGAGAGTACAAGTTACGCATTATAAAACTACAGGCGTCGGGTTGCACATATGTAAGTTCCAATCCATGCAACAATAATTATTATTATTTGTACCCTGTCCATATGACTGAGTTGCCCAGCCACTCTGGGCAGCTTCCAACAGAGTTTACAAAACCACAACGGTACACCACACATTAAATACTTCCCCATACAGGGCTGCCTTCAGGTGTCTATGGAAGGTCATATAATTATTTATCTCTTTGACATCTGATGGGAGGGCGTTCCACAGGACAGGTGCCACTACTGAGATGACCCTCTGCCTGGTTCCCTGTAACCTCACTTCTCACAATGAGGGAATCCCCAGAAGGACCTCGGAGCTAGACCTCAGTCTGGGCTGAATGATGGGGGAAAAGATGCTCCTTCAGATATAAAGTATGTAGGAGGTCTGCACAGGACTATAAAAGATTATTGTGAAGAACAAAACTAAGCATATGCACAATGGATTGTGTGAAGAAGACCTCACAACTGTAATGAGGTAAGCATAAAAGCACAGCATGCATGGCATACTCACACACAAAAATCAGACAATGATGACTAAAGCATGCTCATTTAAGGAAGGAATACAAGGAACACTATAAAGGGGAAAAAATACAGACTCAGTTGTTCCACGAAAAAGCAAAGCCATTACTACTGAGCAGAAAGGAAGCATAGTTTTTCAATTACTACTTAGCTCCACTCAGTAAAACAAAAACCAAACGGTGAACTGAAGATTAACAAAAAATAAAACTAACATATAAATGGAAGGATGAAAAGCAAAATAAAAAAGGAGATGAGTTGCAGAATATTCAGACAGTTCAGATGAATTAGAACAAGCAGTATTTAGTGTCTTGTTAATAAAGGAATTATTTGGGGGAGGAAAGTATACACATCATTAGGATTAATCATTAAATGCATGCTAAGAGAAGCCTGGACAAAGGAAATAATAGGTCTTGTTTTTCACAGAAGGAAAAAAGAAGAGCAGTGAAGAAACAGCACAGCTTAGGGAGAAATCTTTTGAATGATATCTGCCAGCTGAGAGGACACAGGATTTGATGGATACATCAGATGCATCACTGCCACAAAATTAAGCCAGTGGAACAACGCAAATGCATCAGCAGAACAGATTAAACAACTCATGTTTGGGATGGAAGCAGCAAAAGGGAAGAGCACACTTAGCACCAAATCCTATACCTCTTGAGTCAACTGTCATGTGCCTGACAAACAGCTCAGCTTCACACCGGCTCCAGATCTGGGGCTTAAATGGGAAAAGGTGAATTTCAAACAGTTGTGCCCATGCGGATGACCAACCCATTCATACAACTGCAGCAGAGAATAGAATATGGTGGAATTTGGCACCCAATCACAGCACACTACTACCAATATATAAATCCTACATCCAGAGACCATAGCTTATGGTACACAATGTTAATCATGCTTAGCGCTCCCATGGGGAAGCTATGGAGAAAGGGCACTTTGTCTTCAAAACACTCTAGGGTTTTGAATACATTGCTAACAGCAGCACACATCTTCACTCCAACAACTGAGAGAGGGGCAGAGCAGAGCACCCCACACAAGTAAGCAAAGGAGAAGGGGGACCCTTGCTGATAAGTACAAGTACTGCAACTATCTCCCATGGTACCTCAGGTTAAGTACTTAATACGTTCCGGAGGTCCGAAACTGTTCTTAACCTGAAGCACCACTTTAGCTAATGGGGCCTCCTGCTGCTGCTGCGCCGCCGGAGCCCGATTTCTGTTCTCATCCTGAAGCAAAGTTCTTAACCTGAAGCACTATTTCTGGGTTAGCGGAGTCTGTAACCTGAAGCGTATGTAACCTGAAGCACCACTGTACTGTGTCTTACCTGAGCTGCATGGGTTGGACTCTTACACACTTACACCCACACAGCAGTGAGAAGACACTCATCTCCACATGCAGGTAAGCCCCACTCCACCACAACCTGGGATGCGGGAGAGAACACCAAAACCCCACACAAGGTAAACAAGGAAACGAGAGATTTGTTGCAAAGCGTACCTGCAGCAATATCTCCATGTCAGCCCAAACCCCCTTTGCCCCATGAGAAAATGGTATTTTGCCCCAGCTGCATGGCATAATAATACTCTTCTGGCCCAACAGCTGGGATCAAGGAATGCACTGTGCTTCACCTGCAGCAAAGGTCTCTGTTAGCAAAGGCCAGGCACTCTGGCTTCTGGCGACGGTGGTTGGGGGGGGGAAACAACCCCCCCCGAGTGCAAGGAGCAGAATAAGCTACAAACACAACCCCTGTAACATCAGTCACTGTCGTTTATGCCTCTCCCTCAATAAAACAGGAGGCACCACTCACTTCCCCCTCTGTTCTCCCACCCCCTTGCCGATAACTACTGTGAACCCATCCCCAGAGATTATGCCTTCTTGTTTCTTATTATTTTCTAGTTTCTTCCTTTCCTCTCTACAGACGACTTTTTAATGGGTACCGTGAATGGAACCAGGAAACCACCCCATTCCATGTAGACCCTGAGGGAGGCCCATCTGATTTCTACCAGGACGCAGCTAGCTCTTCACTGAAAAGTTGCCTACCTACATGCAGCAGGGCAGGTTCTTGCATCCTGCTTGCATCCCCCATAGGAGATAGAAGGGCAAGAGCTGGGGATAACCAGGTAGCCCACATTTGCTCATCATCTCCACAACTGCTGAAGGCACAGGATCGCTGCTAGAGCAACCGGCAAGCAGCCTCAGGCTTCTGTCTTTGTCCTTATGAGTTAGGACATGTGAGTTAGGAGGTGTGGACGGCAGTCGCTGCCTGAGTGAGGGCTTCCCTTGACTCTAAGCACCACAGGAGGGGAGGAGCTCCTGTTCGTACCATGACAAGGCATGTTTTGAAAACATCAGCGGTCATAATCTCTCTTTTTACCCCAATACCATGGGACAATCTATACAGACTTCCTGGCCAAGAAACGAAACACAAGTGTGCTATGTATTTTTCATTGATTCCAGACACAAAGGAACCAAGACGGAAACAGGTGAGGGGGGGTCTTTTGCATGTGATCTAAGGGACACACATGACTCAAATCCTGGAAACAACTGATCCATGCCAAGATAACACATTTGCTGAAAGTTATAACCAATGGTATTTTCACCTGCTTCATACTATCATTAATTAAAATTCTGGCTAACGGATTATTCTGATGTGAAAGAGATACTCACTTTTTTAAAGGACTATAGGCCAGATCAGCTTAAAGTTCAGTTCACTTCCTTTACGCAACTACTTAGTAGTGCTCTACTGAAATATATGATTCAGATCGCATATAGTGGTACCTCGGGTTAAGTACTTAATTTGTTCCAGAGGTCCGTTCTTAACCTGAAACTGTTCTTAACCTGAAGCACCACTTTAGCTAATGGAGCCTTCAGCTGCCACCGTGCCGCCAGAGCACGATTTCTGTTCTCATCCTGAAGCAAAGTTCTTAACCCAAGGTAATCTTTCTGGGTTAGCGGAGTCTGTAACCTGAAGCGTCTGTAACCTGAAGCGTACGTAACCCGAGGTACCACTGTATTACAAATCATTATAGCTCTTAAGGCAAGCTGTCATCCCAAAGGTGAGGTAACAAGTCAGTAAGAATGTGATGTGCGTGTGGTGGAATACTACTTCTCAACCCCAACTGAAATAGTCTTTTGCTTATTAAATGCAAGAATTAATGACAATTTACTGTGACGTCCACCAAGCCCCAGCAGTTTTAATCAAGTATTTTGATCTTATATTTCTGATCTCCATCTGCCTTCAGACATATGTTTCGATGACAGAGGACAACAACATGATGTCTCATTCAGGGCCATGCACAACTTGGCATTACAGGAAACAGTATAAAGAAAACCGATCAATATAAAAGCCCTCTGTAAATGTACTTTGTTTTAAATGCAAGAAACATTAACCACCCACTTCCTGTACTAGTCAGTTAATTTTTCTTTCCTTTTTTTACAGCTTCTGCGGGATTACTCAGATGCTGCCAAAAGGTTGTGCATTAAGCCAAAGGTTCAGTTAGTGGCAAAATAAATTCCACTTTTTATTTTCAGAAATATTTGGAATCTGAAGCATAGTGGCCTTAAAATAGTCTAAAACCTGTTTTTTTAGAATAGGATTCACAGCTAAAACCTGCATTTATAAAGTTGTGCCCCTAACATATTTATTTGGAAATAAGCTCAAATAATATTTCTGGGTAAAGCTGTATTGATCAGTGTGTTAATGATTTCTCCCTTCTAACAGTATTTCTGTAATTCAAGAAAAATGCAAGCAAAACTGCTGATATAATATCTTGCAAGACACTACAAATGTAACAAGACTACGGGCTTGTGAAGTCTTTTTTTAAGGCAAAGTAAACGGCAGAAGTTGAAGAGCACTTACTGAAACATATCAGTGCCAAAACAGAGGTCTTTGGAAATTCCAGGCATCTGGTTGCCTAGAAATTTAAAATATTTATTCTTTAACAGATATCTAGTCTACTTTTCAGTACTCTTCACACAGCAGCTTACAATCGCTAATAAAATACGACCTATAAAATAGAATATAAACTATTTAAAATACCCACTTCACAACAATCCTAAAGGTAAAGGTAAAGGGACCCCTGACTGTTAGGTCCAGTCGGGGACGACTCTGGGGTTGCGGCGCTCATATCGCTTTACTGGCCAAGGGAGCTGGCGTACAGCTTCTGGGTCATGTGGCCAGCATGACTAAGCCGCTTGTGGCGAACCAGAGCAGCACACGGAAACAGTTTACCTTCCCGCCAGAGCGGTACCTATTTATCTACTTGCACTTTGATGTGCTTTCAAACTGCTAGGTTGGCAGGAGCAGGGACCAAACAATGGAAGCTCACCCCGTCATGGGGATTCGAACCGCCGACCTTCCGATCGGCAAGCCCTAGGCTCTGTGGTTTAGACCACAGCGCCACCCGCGTCCCGCCAGACAACCATCCTAGACCAGCACAAAAGCAACAAATAAAACTAACAAATCCCCAATATGCAGATATCAGTCCAGAACACCATTTTGCATTAGGCACTGAAGAAAGAGGTGGACTGAATCTGAAGGGATGCAGTGTGCCTGATGATATCACATGGAACTGAATCTCACAACTGCAGTGCCACCACCAAAAAGGCTCTGTTCCAAGCAAATGCCTGCTTTGTGCAGGCCTGGCTGCTACAAACTTGATGCAGGCTTGTAGACCTGTAAGAATCTGAATCAATTTTCCATATATCATAAAATGTTAAATTTTAGGCCCTGTTTATGTAGTTTTCAAAACCGCCATGATGACTTGGTCTGTAACTCAGACACAAGAATGACAAAAACTTAAATAACTCACAGAAACAGAACACAGCTACAACTTCACCTGCCTAGATAAACTGCAAACTATTAATTATAAATTTTGCTTAGGGTATTAGTATCCCAGTGCAAAAAAAAAAATGTAAAAATCTGAAGAATCCCAGGTAAAATATATTTCTGGGTTTTTGATCATTGTCTCCCTAAGAGACTAAATGACTACAGTGGTACCTCGGGTTAAGAACTTAATTCGTTCTGGAGGTACATTCTTAACCTGAAACTGTTCTTAACCTGAAACACCACTTTAGCTAATAGGGCCTCCCACTGCCACCGAGCGATTTCTGTTCTCATCCTGAAGCAAAGTTCTTAACCCGAGGTACTATTTCTGGGTTAGTGGAGTCTGTAATCTGAAGCATCTGTAACCCGAGGTACCACTGTACTGGGCAATAAACCAACTATGGTTGGTGTTTTTAATGTGACATGTATTTTCCTTCCTGACTGATATGCAGTCTTGTTAATTTTCTTCATCATGATGGAAATACATTGATGCTGGATTGTTTTGTATGAGGCAGCCCACCTCAGGTGGCGAAAGTGCAAGAGGCGGCTCCACCTGCCCCACCAGAATGCTTCCTTTTTCTGAGTACTGGCAAGAGGTGGGCATTCTAGTGCATGGCACTGCTGCTGGATGAACATTAACGCCTTATGGAACGCCCTATCTCTCGCTGTGTTTGGCAAGAGGGAAGGCTTTCCGGGGAACAGCAGAAGTGGTGTTGGGGCAGTCAAGTGCTGGCTGGGGGGGTCAAGCGCAGCACAAGTTAATTGTCGATGTGCTCACAGCCCAAGTAACCCTGTATATATGAATATGAATACTCACAACAGGGAAGTCAGGCATTCATGGAACTGCCTTTTCAAAGGCTGCATCTTGGTCTGAGTCTTGCACATGCTTCATTTTGTACCCTGGAAGATCCCTATAGTATTCAGAGAATACTTACAGTGACATCACTGTGGTTCACGCAGTTATGTTAAGTTTGGCATGCCCATAAATCTCTTGCAAGATCAGGAGGCTTATGTTCTTCGGGTATAATTGAGCACAGGCTCTGTATATTTTACAGCTACCCACATTAAAACAAAGATGAAAGTATCCCCGAAAGACCCCTTTCTTGCCCGACTAAGTACGCCACACCTGAAGGCACTAACAAGAATCATGTTTGAAAACTGCTCAGAAGTGGTTTGCTGTTGGGAAAGTGCAGGGAGGGGAACTCATCAAAACCCTTGCGTTTCATGGCCGTGTTTCCTTTTTAAAGAAAACGTATAAATCCACAAACCCTCTGTCCAAAATACACACAGCACTGTTTCCAGTCAACATTCCCACCTATGGCAAGTACCAAAAAAAAAAAAGCAACAAAAATTGATAAGGGTCTCCAATTATTGCATTCTTAACAGACATATCCCAGGACACCTTTTAAACAGACATTCCTGAAATCGAAGGCAGAACTGAGGGATGAATGGAAGTCTACAACAAAGAGGCTTGGGAGGCCAAGTGACTTGGAAAAGCCACACAGTTCATGCCAGTGGCTACATTCCTAAAGAGGACAAAGCCACACAAAAGGTCTCGGAGCTGCAGAGATCAAAACTCTCAGCCAGAAAAACCAGAGCAAAAGGAAGGAATAAACGAAACCACAGAACAGAGGGCTGTGTGTGTGTGTGTGTGTGTGTGTGTGTGTGTTTTCCTCCAGTGAAACTTCTCCAACAGTGCAGCCGTCAATGAAATCAAAAACCTCCACCGAGGTCACCTTTTTTTTAAGGAAATCAAGAAAGGCTGGGATCGGGTGGCTTGGATCCTTCCCGTATTCCCTGGAGCTTCAAGATCTGCTCCGCTCCTTCCTACCACTTCTTCTGCATTACTGGGCTGCGGGGTCTCTACCCAAGGCGTCCAAACTTCAACTAAGCTTGTGGACCTCAGCCAACATGCCTGTGTAGACAAAACACGAAAGGTGGCGGCGGCGGCGGCGGCGGCGCGGACAAAAGAGAAGTCTGCACGGCACCGGTAGCAAGAGACCCAGACCCGCCACGGGCTGCAGACAAAGGAGTGCGCTGGGGGCCGCAGCAGCCGTCGTGGTTCCTCCCTCCCACCCCCCAAAAAAGCCTCAGGTATCCTCCCCTCCCTGGGAGTCTTGCTCAAGCCCCGCGCGATAGACGTGGCTGTCCACAGGAGCCAACTCTCCCCCGGTAAAATAGTTGAGCCCCCCCCCCCAAAGTTGCCATTCAAATAATTGGTGCGCGCGCCATGTCTTGGGATCGATGATGCGGGGCGGAGCTTTCCTCGCGCGTCCCCGCAATATTTTATTCAAGTTGCCCCCCCCCTCTTTCTCTCAACCCCCCCCCCCCAACTTACAGGATGGTGGTCTGCGGCGACACGGCGGGGACGCTCTCGAGCATGAGGTGCATGCAGCGCACGGTGGTGCGGAAGCAGAGGCAGCGGCTGGGGCACCAAACGCTCCCCCTCGGCGGAGAAGGAGGCGGCGGCGGCGGCTGCTGCTGCTGCTGCGGGGAAGCGAGGGGCAGGAGGCTTCCGAGCAGGACGCCGAGGCAGAGCCCGGGGAAGGCAGCGCCCGCTCTGCGCCGGGCCATGCCGTCGAGCAAAAGCCGAGCGGAGGAAGGGGGGTGCGGGGAAAGAGAGAGAGAGAGAGAAGGGAAAAACAAGAAGGAAAGCAGGGCGAGGAGAGGCAGCCGAGGCAGCTCTCGGCTCTGCTGCCGCTGCTCTCGCTCCGGTGGTCGAGCCGGCGGCGGCGGGGGCTGCAAGAGGCGAGCCAGTCGCCAGCGCGCAGCCCGGAGGGGGAGGAGAAAGAGGGGACGGCGGCAGGAGGGGCCGCCTCAGCCAGCCAGCTCGCTTGAAAGCAGGCAGCAGCTTCGCCGCGCCAAGGCCGGGGCTTTCCCCTGCGCTCGTCCGCCTGGAGCAGCGCAATGGAGGGAGGAGGAGGGGGCTTCTGGTGACCGCTTCTTCCACCCCACCCCGGCGCCAGCGGTGGCAGTGGCTGCTGGTTTTTTCCCGCCAGCTGCGAGGAGGGAGAAGAAAACCTCCCCTTATGGCCACCACACCTGGCGGAGGGAAACACAAAAGACCCCCACTTCCGGCAGGCGTAGTTCAGCTGTGGTCGGGATGGCGACAAAGAGCCTTCTTGCGGCCACTTATTTTACAGCACTAACCGCTCTGCAAATGGTTCCCAGTGTTGGTATTGACCTGTAAAGCTTTACAGGGCTCGGGGTCTCAATATTCTCTCCATACAAACCAGCCCAGGCCCTGCAATTGTTACCTGTCGTCCTTCGCTATGTCCCCCGCTCCCAGAGAGGTTCAGAGGGTGGCAAAAACATTCCTCTTTACCTATAGCTATTAAATAATACAGTGGTTCCTCGGGTTAAGTACTTAATTCGTTCCGGACGTCCATTCTTAACCTGAAACTGTTCTTAACCTGAAGCACCACTTTAGCTAATGGGGCCTCCTGCTGCTGCCGCGCCGCTGGAGCACAATTTCTGTTCTCATCCTGAACAAAGTTCTTAACCTGAAGTACTATTTCTGGGTTAGCGGAGTCTGTAACCTGAAGCGTATGTAACCTGAGGTAGCACTGTACATGGCCTGAAAAGATGTGGGGGAGTGAACTCTTTACATATTATGATGATTAACTTATTATTGGGCTGCCTGTCAGTATGCTTTTACTATGTTTTTATGGTTGATGTTTTGCAATGTGGTTTTCAATGTTGTACACTGCCCTGAGAGCTTTTGATAAATGGCAGAAAAAGTGGCATGGAATATAAAAGTGCTCCTCCCTCACATTTAATCGTTTCTTTATGAAGTGGCAGCATTTGGGAGGCAGAGGGAGATGGCGATGGAAGAAGGGGTGTGTGTGTGAAAGCCATTTCTCCTGCTTCATTGGTCATGTCTGAACATATCTCCCTAGTTACATTTCAAATGGTCACGGAAGGAAAACCTTGCATATCTCTGTGGTCCCAGTAGGTGTGGGGTCATCTCTGTGTGTGGATGGGCTATCGCTGCCTTTCTCAACCTTGGGTCCCCAGGTGTTGTTGGGCTACAACTCCCATCATCCCTGCTAGCTAGCGATGATGGGAATTGTAGTCTAGCAACATCAGAGGACTCAAGGTTGAGAAAGAAAGCTGTCCACAGAAAGCTGTCTGTGGACAAACGCCAGCACCCTCGGCCTGAAAGCGAGATGAGCACCGCAACCCCATAGCCGCCTTTGACTAGACTTGACCGGTCAGGGGTCATTTACCTTTTTTTTTACCTGCAGGCAGGGAGGGAAGTGCATGCTCACACATAAGACCCAGTAAAGACACAAAGCATCAATGTTTGGGATCAAATAAGGCCACAACTTTTATTGATTACAGATGTAAGCTGGTTTTGGTGCAGGCATTGGGTGTGTATCCTGAAATCAAGCAGCCACCGCCTGATGGATAGTAGCAGTAGACCACTGCCAGGGGTCACCAGCACATTATCTTGCAGGAATACAGAGTATTTTCCTTGACTTAAGAGGGAGCTGCATCCATCTATCACCTTCAAAGTTACTCCCTGAGAGTATGATGTATTGGTGAGCGAGTGTGATTGATATTGAACAGTTATCATGAAGTTAATTATGGCAAGGAATAGGCTTGGTTAGGACCTGATGCTGGAATTGTATTTTTAAACAGAGAAAAACTTCCACAAAACAGTGGCATGTTTTATTCTCTCACTGAAACTTACAGAATATAATTTGAAGCAGCTTGTTATCAGAACCAAAAGTATTTGTATCAAAAGCCAAATTAAGTGCACAATCACACACACACACACACACACACACACAAAGTTCAATACTATTTCTAGGTCAACATGAACTTTTTCTCCCGAGTGTTGTGTAATACCTTGAGGCGGCCAGTGTTAATGTTTATTTAAATGTACTGATAATACTCCAAACGGATGTAATAGGAATGTCCAATTTGTGACATATTTATACTTTTAGTTTTAAACACATAATTTGCTGGCAACGGTCAAAGGGAAGCTAACTTCTGCCAAAGTCAGAACGATGCATATTGTGTGCTAGGAAATCTTAAAAAGTAAAATAGAAAAAGAAAGAAAGACATAATTTACATCTGGAGCAGATTTTTGTTTATTTATCCTTTGCCTGAAACAGGATGTTCTGTGTCAATAAAGATTATGGGGTTATGGCAAAATGTTCAAGAGCAGGATTCTGATAACAACCAATGATTCTAATATCCAATTAGCTTGGGGGGGGGGTTGGCTTTTGGAGGAGTAGAAAACCTTCAACTGATTGCTTCTTCTGAAAGCCAACTATTTTCCAGGCACTATTCAAGATGTATGTAGAGCAATTGGAAGATAAAGTCTAAGTTGGCTGAAGCTAAATCCAGAGGTGGAGGAGGTAGCCAAATCATGGCCAACAGAATTCTTACCAGTTATTACCTTGGCAGACCTCCTTCTGGAGACTTCCAAGAATGAAAGATGATTCTCTACTTTCTGGATAATCCAGACAGCACAACTTTGTTCCTTCCCAGCAGTACAATCAGAGGCAAGTCCTGCCAACGTTTGATTCTTCTGTACAGGAAATGGTGTGATAAATATGCTAGAACATTATCTAAAGAAAAACCAATGTTTTGATGTAACTATTTGAGCGGTAGCTCAGTAGGAAGAACAAAGATTACCAGGAGGAAAAGTGAAACACAAATGCACGACAAATATGAGCCTGAATTGAACAACAATAATATATTTTGCAATGTGAGCAGCCGGGGAAAATATTTAGGTATTTCACACTATGGTCAATTTGCAATCAAAAGCAGGTTCACAACGTGAAAAAGGCTTTCATCACAAGTAAAACATCTTTCATGCCTTGCCTCACAAAAATCTGGAATCAAATCAATATGGTGGTCCATTTTAGGCAAATTCTGGATAAAAATGATGGGGTGGGGAATGTTACCTCAAGATGACTTGAAACCAGTGAAGTTGTGCTTATTTCTGGCAACTAAAGAACTATTCAGATTCTGGCTACAATTTCTGATGTGCTTCCTTGCACACATTCCTGCTTTATCTTGTTTTTTGTCCAATACTGCCACTTGCTGGTTTTCTCGCCACACTGCTACCATCTTCAATTGGTTGCCCCATGAGTAGGAATGCAGTTTATGGAAGTTTTAATTTCACATGGTTATCATCACACAGCATAACATTCCAGAAGAAAACACATGGGGCGAATTTGCTTCAGGTTGGTCCTGGCAGCAAGCTGCATATATTTAAAGAATGCATAAAGCCCCGGGATTAATGTAACAAGCATTTTAAAATTCTCATTTCCCGATTTTCTTATAAATTAACACAACAGTCATCTATGGATATTCTTTTGCTTTCTCTGTATAGTTATTTATAGAAAATTCTGGGTTCCACCCCCACCCCTTGGCAGAGAATATTTTAAAAGAGAAGGGACCTCTTTTTTAAAAAAAAATATCAATGAATGAATGGATATTTTTAACTCCAGTCTTCAAAAACAAGAAGCAGAGAGAGAGAGCGCACAATTTGTTGGTCCTCATCTGCGGCCAGGCTGGGTTCAAGACATATGAAGTGATATACAGCTCAGGTCCAGTCTATGTTAAGAGATTGCCTTATGCTTTATACACTCAGCAGACCACTATGGTCTGTGGGAAAGTTTCTCTTGCAAAGTCCAAAGATCTCAGAACTCAGGGTAGGGCTTTTAGTTTGGCTGCCCCTGTTCTGTGGCATTGCGTTCCTGGCAAAATATACCAGGCACTCAGTCCCCGCACTTCCCAGAACCAATGGAAGACCATTTTTGTGCTCATAGGATTTCTCAGCTGGATAAACAGGTCTTTGCCATGGGTGTCTTAATTTGTACTGTTTAATGTTTGCTTTAAATGCATTGGCTGGTTTTTGTTTGTTTTGTTTTTTGCTTTGTTTTGTGTTTAACTGTTCTTTGCTGTTTTTATCGTACATCATGTGTCAAAGGTGATTACTGAATTATTCATTCCTGAGGGATCTCTTGACACTTCAAAACAAAAATCTACTGAGAACCGTGGTATTCTTATAGAAGTGTATTTTGCATTTTCATCATTTGCTAGCATAGATGGTCAAGTCCCAGCTTTTGAAGCCTCAGTTGGAAAGCATGCAGAAAAAAAGATAGATGGATAGATAGATGGATAGATAGAGATATGTAACTGTATGTATGTGTGCATACATGTGCAGGGGGTAGTAAAATCAAAATATGGGAGGGGGGAACATGGGACATTGAGTGGAATAAACATCAGTGATGAGAACCTGAGCCCAGCATGGAAAGTTAAGTGTAAGTAGATAAGGTCCAGGTATTGAAATGATAAAACCTTGCACCTAACGGATATAGTTGTCAACAATCCTGAGTAAAGAGGAGCTATTAAAAATGTAGGTTCTGATAACTTCGGCTCTACTACTCCAGGTTGGTAGGTGTTTCTAAGAATGAGTCTGTTGAGAAATGAAGAATCTGGCTAGATAATGCAAAACTATATATATTGTATTTTTTGTGTGTATAAGACGGTGCTTTTTGCTTAAAAAGAAGAAGGCCAAAATTGGTGTTATCTTATACACGGATAGTGAATGCAGAGCGGGAACGTGTGATTAATGGCAGCAGCAAGCAGGAGATGGGCAGCGGTGACTGGGTGGGTGATTGGTGGCCGCAGCAAGGCCTGCTGGCAATTGGCTGTGGCAACTGGGCAAGCGGTTGGCGGCTATGGCGAGCGGGCAGACAATTGGTGGCTGTGGCAAGTGACTGGCAGTGGTGGGCAGGAGGGTGAGCG